TCTAACGGATAGTGAGAGAGAAAACCAGTAAATTTATCAACACATGTTAGCACCAATGTTCTGCCAGTCAACCGGCTGTTCGGCATATGCATCACGTCCACCACTAACACCTCCCCCGGGCCGCACGGATCCTGAGGGAGAAGTGGTGGCGCGGGCGGTCCCCGGTCGTCTTTCCGCTGACTGCACCGCTCGCAGCTGGCGACGTAATTCTCGCAATCACGTCTCAGACCAAGGTACCACACGTCCCTGGACACTTTCTCAAAGAGTTTCTGGTCACCACAGTGTCCGTGGTGCGACGGGTCGTGATTATGGCGGAGAATTTCATACCTTTTTGCTCTGGGCCACACGACTTTGAGCGTTGCGCGCGTAATGTCTTTATAAAAAAGAATGCCATCACGGAAAATAAAATTTGTAACATCCTGCTTTTTTAGAGTAGGTGAACAGAATTTCGGCCATTTCTGGTGCTTCAGACGATGCACCAGAGCACGACAATCCCTGTCATGTTTCTGGTACCACCGGATTGAGTCTGGATCCAGTGATAACCGTGTCCCGTCTATGCTAACCGCATTCACTCGTTCACCCGTCATACCGGAAGCGACACCCTGCTGACATCCTCCCGTCACCCGCTCCGAAGACGGGCCGCACTGCCCCGATGGCAGACCCGACGCCGGCGGTACGGGCCGGAACCCGTGCGACCCCAGCCCATCGTGCGAGCCGCTCGAATCCGGCGGCCGCGGCCCGGACGGGATCCGGCGCCCCGTCAGTCCGGCGCGATCGCCGCCACCTCCGCGCGCCGGTGGCGGCGGGCGCCGAGCGCCGTCACACCCGAGCACGGTCCCGGCAACTGAGCCAGCGCCACCGACCGGAGCCGCCACGACTGTGGTACCATCAAGCGAACTGTCGCCACCCCCGCCGGAGCCCGAACCAGACCCAGGCTGGCTCTCAGGAATCCTCGACAGCATGTCCACGTGCTGCATGCACGCTGCTGGTCGATGTTCGGCCCGAAAATGGAATTGGCTGACATAAGCTCTCCACCTGACTATACGCGGGTTCACATCATCTTTGTTTTGTAGTATTTTAAGCGCACTCTTGCAATCACAGACCCATGTAAAATCGGCGCCCGCAAGGTATTTATAAAATTTCTTTAGGCCTGTGATAAAGCTGAAAAGTTCAAGTTCGTAAATCGTCCACTTGACTGCATTTTGTTATATTTACTGCCGTTGAATGCGATAACTCTTTCCACTCCACCTTGGACTTGACACAAGACTTGACCCGACCCGACCGTGCTACTGTCTGTATAGAGGACAAACGGATCGTCACGCGTTGGGTAGGCCAGTACTCGGCCCGATAACAAACATGTACGCAATGAATCAAATGCCGCCTCTAGTTCGCGATCCCAGTAAAACGATGATGAGTTCGCTAGACGAATCAGAGGCGCCGAAGTGTCCGAAAAAGATGGGATGAATTTCCTGAACCATGCAAAAAAGCCGTATATACGTTTCGCCTCCTTCACAGTGGTGGGAGGCTTGAGCTCCTGAATGCATTTCACTCTGTCTGGGTCAATTGACACGCCTTCGGGTGTAATCAAATGTCCCAAGTAAGAAAGCTTTTGCATGCCTATGCGACATTTGCTGGGCGCTAATTTCAGGCCCGCCTGGCTCAACCTATCTAGTACTGTATGGAGAAGCTTCAGGTGGCTATCGACATCTGCACTCGTCAGCAACACATCGTCGGCGTAAATAGATACACCGGGGATGTCCCCGAGAACACGATGCATTGCAACATGCAAGAAGTATGAGGACTGGGCACAGCCCATGGGCATTCTCTGCGGATAGTAGGTCTTTCCTAGGGCGTAAAAAGCGCAGACTTTTTGAGACTCTTTCGACAACTTTAAATTCCAAAATGCATGTTTTACATCCAGCGAGCTGGCAACTTGCCATCCATGAAGGGACTGCAGAAAATCGTCAATGCTTGGAAGCACGAATTTCTTAGGCAAAAGACTTTTGTTAATTTCGCGCATATCCTGGACAATGCGGAACTCGGAAGATTTCCCTTTGGGAACGAGAATCACTGGTGAATTCCAGTCACAGGGCTCTCCGACGGCAATCACGCCACTGGCCTGTAATGCATCCAACTGTTCTTCCAAGATTTTTTCTTTGGCCCACGGTACTGGATAAGGCTTTGAAAACCTAGGCTTTGTACCCGGCTCAAACTCCAAATCAACGTCACCCCCACCGTAACAGCCGATGTCTGTGTAACTCTGGGAGAAAACGCCGGGAAATGACTGTAACAAAGCGGCTACCTTCTCGCGATCTGCCCCTCTAACCCCGTCACCAACTTGGAACCGGGTTAGTACCTCCTCCGGCTCGAGACCCAAGAACTGACTATCGCTGGCGGACACGGCATTGGTCTCCGCGGTGTCGAACGTGTCTGTGTCGCGCGGCGGTGTGATATCTGCGCCGTCGGCAGGCTGCAAATACCCGATAACATCACGCCGGCGAAGTGTCACAAATCGGTCTGAACGATTTCTCACACGAAGTGGTATCTCACGGGCTGAGTATGGCCTAAGCAGGGCATCAGTGACCTCAATTTGACCCGTTTTCTGACCTGTCAGCACGTATTCTGAGTCTGTCGATAAATCTGTACTTATTCTAACACAAAGACATGATATTGACCTCGGTGGTATGCGCACTGGCTTCTTCAAGCGCAGCTTCACCTGACCAGACACATCTGAGCAATCTAACACAACACGATGGGCCTTCAGAAAATCAAAACCAAATATACAGTCATGTGAGAGGCCCTCAACAACAGTGAAATCAAAATGCACTTCATCGCTGCCCTCGGCAGCGGCTATCTTTACGGGCAGGCTGCATGAACCAAGGGCTCGCATCTGATGGCCTGACGCTGAAATCAGAGCCGCGGCTGGCTTCAGTTGTGCTTGAGGAGCAATCACTTGCAAAACTCGATTATCCAAAAGAGTTTTTTGACTGCCGGAATCTAGCAAACAATCACTGACAATGAAGCCGTTGATCGAAGCCCTGGTTACTGGTAAAGAGACCAATCCTAGAACCGGTTGCGCCTGCCCGCGAACTCGTTTGGGCACTGACGCTTGAAATGACCCACTCCCCCACACGACCAGCAGCGGACAATACCTGACCGTCGTCCCTCGACACCGTCACCCCAGTCCGGCGACGGATCACGCGCCGCCCCTCCTCCGGCTGTCGACTCGGGCGACGCGCGGCGGCCGGCGCGCGGCCGCTGGGTTCCGCCCCGTCCGCGGCGCGGAGAGCTGCCGCGTTCCTCCCCTGATGACCGGGTCCAGACGCGTCCAGTGTCGGTCCAGCCCCGGCCGCCACGCGGTGAAGGGGAACGGCGTCTCGCGCCCACTGGCCCGGCGGTCCCGCAACCGGACCGGCTCTGATAGGCCCGGGCATCGCTGGGTGATCTGCTGGCCACCGGGGAGTTCCACCGGCTCCTCCGCTCAGGGGCTCCAGATCGTCGTCCTCTGTCGTTCTCGTCTTCCGGCTCCTCCCACCCGTGCCGTCCTCTGCCGTCCTCGTCTTCCGGCTCCTCCCACCCGTGCCGATCTCGCACGGGTGAACCCGGCGATGCCGAACCCGACCAGCCACCGCGGCCGGCCGCGGCCGGGGACTGGCGGCGGGGTGCGGAGTAGCGGCCGTCCCGGTCAAGGTCATCCCAGCGGACGCGCCGGCCGGACACCGCGCTGGCCACCTCTGCCGCTTCCAGGCCCTCCTCTCGTGTTAGCTCTGAGAGACACTGCTCGAATGTAGACGCTTTCTGGCGAGACAACAGACATCTCTCTTCATGGGACAGCCCGACCAGAAAGTGTCGATATAGGGCCGCGTTATAAGACGGCACACATATTTTCTTCACTTGGCCGTCCTCTCCGAACATCTCGGGACACGCCTGACGGACCAGCTGACGAACCTGAAGACCGTAGCTTTGGGCTGAAAGGCTTCCTTTAGTCAGTGTCGCCAGGCCCTGTGACGCATGCTCTACAGAGCCGCTCGCACCACCGAAGTGTGCCTTGAGCTGCTCCGTCACTGTCGCTAGCGACAGCTGACCTCCAGTGTCTTCAATGCTGTTGACGACCGACAGGGCCCGTCCATGACACCTGGCCGCGATGATAGTGCCGAGCTTGGAGTCCGGCAGGCCCCCCAACTCTGCCAGTCTAGAGCACTGTTGGAGAAAGTCCTCCGGCCGGCCCGATCCGTCGTAAGTCGGGAAATCACTCACGGAGACGGACACCACAGGCTCCATCGCCACAATCCCACCGCTGCCACCATGTAACGTTGGAACGCGCCGTGCACTCCGTGCGCGCACCGGCGATACGGGACACGCGCCCCGTCCGAACACGACCGTAGCCAGTTACCGACTGTATTTTCCGTCTGACCTGACCCGCCTGCGGCGGAGCAGTGGCGCCCCCAGCCACAGCCGCATAGGCACCTCGAGGGGAGCAAACGGGGGAGGCTCACATTTCCTCCCCTCACACCATGTCAGAACCATGTCAGAACGGAGTAAAAGCAAAAAAAAAAAGAAATTGCCGTTTTCATTTAAACATTAAAACTGAAGAAAAAACATTGAAACTATTCCTTTTCTGAGCTTATCTTCAGGCAGGAGACACGTTTCAAATTCAACTTCAATATTTTTAGCAAAATAAATGAATATGCTGCGTCGACAAAATGATAGGGAGTGGAACTTATCCGAGTGGCTGGATTCCCTAGTTACCGCAGATCAAAGGACAGATGAATGTGTCAGTAACTGACGGTTTCCATCAGGCATCAGCCCAGATGTCATCATGTCGCCACTTCAAAAGACCCGCATTCCCGCTGTCAAACACATCAATAACGTCGGAACACCCGGAACTGCCCCAGTTTCAATCTGCGCTAGCGAATGTGTCAGTGCCAGAGTCAAATATAGTGCCACGAGGGCATCCATTAGATCGAAATTTACCACAGAAAACGCAAACAAAAAAGGGATAATCGAAGAAGGGACCTTTATTCCAATCTCCAACACCGACCGACGCGAGCGAGACAGAACCCGAGTTTGGCCACCACAGGGACCGGCAGCGGCCTACAGCTTCAGTTGGCTGAGCTTTTCGCTCACCTGGATCTGTGTCTTGGTCAGCTGAGACAGGTAGACCACCATCAACAGGTCCTGTGGACGGACAACGGGCGCGAGGAGCGGTCAGTCACACGCAACAGGTCGGAGCGGACGGCCAACGATTGGTCACGTGGTAAGTCCTCACATGGCACTGTGCATGACATCCGCGACCACGTGACTTATGGGGTATCCGTTAACAGTTTGTTGTGGTAAACTAATTGTCACTCGTTCAGTGTAGACCTCCTACGCAGTAAGGCGTTGAGGTTTACATTTGAGGTATAGCAGCTGCGGACGACGGTACACTGAGTCACAGCGGGCATCCCAGCACTGGATGTAAGCTACCGAGCTTAAAATGTTACCCGAAACTTTGTGAGCATATCCTAGCATATGATGTTTACGGGAAATGTTTCACTCAAGTGGTATATCGGCATTTTAATATAAAATGGCATCAAAACATGCTAATTAACTTCAGGTATGCTGCAAAGCACGGATGCTGCTGTTTGGCTTGGCTGGCAATTTGATTACTCACAGGGTACACGACCTTTGCTTTTGCGGCACGGTGCGCCCATATACCGCAATTAAATCATAACACCCACGCGACATCAAGCATTGCACCACCGACTTAAAGATCGGCAAAAATCAACATTTGCGAAAAACGAAGCATATTGAACTAAGGGCTGACAGTCTTTCGAATTTCAAAGCGAGCTGATCTTGCTGAACATGTTCTCCACTTCCATGAGATAGGGTTGCAGTCTGCAGATGTAAAAACCCAGAAATATACGTTAGTGCAGCAGTGGAGATGCGTTTGCTGGATGTTGACGAGTGCGGCTACTGAAACAATGCCTTTTAGGGTGGTTGTTACGGGACCATTGTGGGCTAAATCAGATACCATCCGCTCCTGCCTAGTATCGTAGGTCGTACCTTGATGTTCGAGTTGAGCATCTCGTCGAACTGTTCCTGCGACATTTTCGGCACCGAGTGCACCATGTCGAGCAGCTGTCGGCCGACCGTGGCGTCCGGCTCGGTGGTCCCCGACAGCACCCCGTCCACGTACGCTGTCGGAGCGGGCAGAACGGCATCGTCGGCCAGCGTGCAATAGGTGGCAGAACACACAAAAATGGCAGGAGCCGTGAATACAATACTCAAAGGAAGTGCTCCTAATAGTTGTAAAAGACAACAATGGCCGATAAATGCCGTTGCCGTATGCACTGATCAGGGTCCAGTTATATTGTACAAGACATACACTATCAAATCCATTGAATATGAGCAGCTTTAGAAGTTTTACAACAAACTAAACGCACAGAATGACAGAGAAAATCATATGAACCTCGTGGAACACACGAAACAATTGTGGGAAAAAATCTGCGCATCCAGCAAGGCAAAAGAAAATGCACAGTTCCTTGAAAAGAAAATGGCGAAGATAAAACAAAGCAAAATCCAAACAGAATGTATGCTAATCTCAGGGTACATGGCATGTTTTGATTGTTGGACTATCTGTCGTAAAATCTATCACAACTCCTCTAAACCACATCTAATGTCCACTCAGATCAAAGCACCTTTACGTCCCCTTCCAAACTGACCTGTCAAGTGATCGATCATGTCCTCGATGTTGCGTACGGCGCCGGTGAACTGACTGAGGTCCGACTCCGGCTCGAACGTCTTGGTCTTGCTGTACTTGGTGTTTTGCGCGACGTTCATGCCGACCAGCTCTGCGCTGTGCGCCACCAGCTCGACGGGTACCGGGCTGAACATGGTGCCGCCCGTGCCGCCCGGCACGCCCATCGGGTTACTGAGGACAGAGGGGAGGAGGGTGACGTTATCCACTACAAGGGGACGGGCAACGAGAGAAATGTGGGACCAAAATCCCTGACAGCAGCACAGACCAGGCCCGACGCGAGAATCATTCATGAAAGGAATGATCGTTTTCCTGCTCATGGAGGCTCACTGTGCCCATCACGTCGTTTGACAGCTCTTGTCAGCTGGGCAACAGCAATTGAAAGAAGACTCAAGGCACAGCCAGTTTGTCAGTAAGTGGGATGGAAAGAGCCAAGATAGCTGGTGAACACACTTATAACTTAGTCTTATGAGTCAACCCATACATCTAGATCAAGCGGTAAGATCGAATTTACCGTAATATGATCTGTTCACCGCAGGATCCGGCCTCATTGGTCTGTCTATTCAAAACATTGACAAAAGTTAACACCAGGTCTCCGTAAAGCAGTCATTCATTTCACAATTGCAACTATTTACAACCATCCCATCCCATGCAAGTCCCACCTGATGTAGGCCTTCCAGCTCATGCGTCCGTTGGCCATGATGGTGTCCAGCGTGAGGTGGATGGGGGTGGGACACTTGGCCTGCTTGGAGTAGTACGTGTGGATGAGCACTGAGTGGTCGGTGACCTCGGGCCCGGTGGCGAACCAGCCGACCATCGTCTCCAGCGGCGCCACCTGCTGGTGTAGCTCGTACATCTCGCTGGCAAAGTCCATCTTGATGAAGAGCTGGGGGAAGGGAGGGAGGGAGTTACCGAGGGCACTAGTGATGACAGATAACACCCAGATGGCAATCTGGTGCTGTATCAGGTTGAGCTGTCAGCATCAGGCATATTGTGGGAGCGAGAAAATGCTGTCTAACTCAGCTCATTTTACCAACTACTTGGCCTTATTTTCATCAAGCATTGACAACTAAAACCCAGCTACACTCTAAAGCATTTCAGCTTGCTGTTGGTAACCAAGACAATGTCAGGCTTTTACCTCTTCCTGTGTCTCAGCATGGGGTACACAGAAGCAGTTTGTGACCTCCACTCCATTTTTCTCATATGTTCCTGAAACAAAAGAGACAATGTAAGCTGTTAACACTGTCAGATCCAGCCATTTTCAAGGGAGGGGCATACCAAAACTAGCTTTACTGTCTAGCTTCTATAAATCTGGGTAGGTAGTCAACACAATATCACAATCATACGCAAACGATGGAATCACTCAAAAATGGAATTACGCTTATCCAGAGGGCTGTTCATGGGCACCGCACACTGCTCAGTGCAGTGTGTGCAGCAGGGGTGGGGTAGGGGACCAGACTGCAAAATATGGCACGCAGGTCGACGAGGCGCACCGGCCCAAGTTCAAAATCTGCACCAACCCTTCAAACTGAGCCGGAAAATCCGCACCAAAGCGAGCCGAGAGCCCAAAATATCCGCACCGAACCCACAGGCAATTATAATGCCAGGGGCTTCATTCATCTCACTATAATTATTTCCCCTCCAATTTCGGTTTCACGAGCAACGCTCACCACGGGACCGCGCCGCGCACTTGTACCGGAAGTTTGAAATAGAGCAAATAGACGGACGTCGGTGACAAAAGGGCGCCGGAGGGCATATTGGGTCACGTGACATTCGGAACTTCTCTCCTCTCTGTGGGCCTTCTACATGCTAAATGTCACGTGTGAATTTGACGAACCTTGATAAAATCGCCCCAACAAACTTTCGTATGAGTAAAACTAATGACGTCATTCCAAAGTAGCATACTGATTGGCAATTCAAACCAGCTGCTCACAAATGTGACATACCAGTCACCACCGCAACCAGTCTTCGTTCTAATGACGTCGTCATCACGTTAATTTCCGAGGCGAGAATGGATTTGTTCTGCCGCAATTTTTAGTTCGTAGAGTAAATTTAAAACCTTTCTCCGTCACCGTGGCTGGCACGCATTTGTAGGGCTTTCCAAAGAACAGTCAACAAGGAAACCCGGCCAGGTAAGAAGACCAAGCGAAGTCCGCACCGCATCAAGGTCCAAGCCAAATCCGCACCGCACCACTCCAAAATCTGCACCAGCCGAGCAAGCCCGCACCGACGAGATCTCATCAAAATTGCCATACTTTGCAGTCTGGGTAGGGGAGGGGTAGTCTGTATGACATCAAACGGCTGCGTGCAGTGGGCCGCACACAGCCAACACGCAGTCACTGTGTGCGGTGACAGAATACTGACGTAGGGATGCAGTGAGCGGAGCTTAGAGCCTGTGTACATTCCTACCGTACATAGGGCTCATAGACAGCCCTCTGCAGTAGCATATGGTGGAGGTCCAAATCACCATTCACGGAACCAGATGAACATTGCAATAAATCTTAACAACAAAGCAACTAGTGATAAACCTTACCTAACAATGTACCGATGATTCTGGCTTTATCTTGACTTCTCCTTTCATAGGCATCAACTATTTGAAAAAGCACAGTGGGGTGCACTTTTACAGTTAGATCCAGGGACATTTTGTTCTTCTGGAATTCAGCAATAAAAGACTCCTTCAGTGAATGGCTTCCAAACGTTTTGTTTTCTGCTTAGGAATCATAAAAACTGCAGGGCAAATGAGTTAAAACCAATCAGCGTCACGCGCCTGCAACGAAAATGCACGGAAATTATCGCGAGACGCCCGAGACAACACTCATTCCCCTCCCCCTTGACTCTCGAGCCAAATCACACTCAAGGTTTTCAATATGTCAGAGTCGATATCGAATACCATACGATTCAAAAAGATAAATGACGTCATTAATTAAAACAAAGATAAAAGTAAGTAGATCAAAAACACCAAAAGAGACATAAACAAATTGTTTAAAAATATGCTTCAATGCAAAAGATAATTTTTTGATAGAGCTGATGTATGGCCTGGGCTAACACAGCAAAACAAATGTCAAAAAGATTGATATTTTTTCTTGTCTTTTAGGTCATTGGTCTCGTGACGTAATTTTTCCAGTGTACAACTCAGACATCAATGTTGTCTAAGAATGGCACAAATGTATCAGGTTCGTCGTAAATGAATCGCGCACGATGGAAGCATGGCAGCAAGCAGTTACTAAATAATTAATGCCATAACAATCTGATAATGTGCAGATATGTCAGTTCTCGAAGGCTCTTCATATGCTTGGGCTGATGTCACCAACTGCATTTTGATGATTGCAGTTTGTTGGAATTCCGATTGTCTTGGGAGTAAGGACTCGTGTCTGTAGCTCCCCACCTCTGGTACCTCCGGCTCGGGAGCACCTTACGCAGACTTCTCGGCAACTACTATGTATAGTTCTGTCGCACGCAAAGCCATCATGGGGCACCTCAAAGACAAACATCGAGTGCTAATTATAATCACTGGCTGAGAACAACTGTCTCCTAGGCGCCACGCCATTACGGTCACAGACTCGCAGCTCCAAATCAACGTGTATTAGCATCCAGTATGTGAAATGACCAGCGTTATACACCATTCTGCAGCGCTGCGCGGATGCTGCTACGACCCGACGTAACACCGGTCCTCTGAACCCTGCCGGCGTCTGCTTCGACACACGGGCCACGCGTCTATTAAAGCGGCAGCACACATAGCGTACCGGGTATAACACACAATGTGAATGTCAGTCGACTCAAAGGGCGACAGGGCGCTGACGGTGAAGTGAAGAGGGGATGACGCTCTCGGCACGGCGATGCCGCTCGACCTTTCCGCTTCATATCAGATCGGCCACTGAAAAGAGGGACGGAGACATTGTCAGACAACACGCACGTATGGAGCGATATAAAACATATGTAAATCAGAGACACATCAGTCGAAAACGGAATGACGATACGAATATGCGGCAGAGACTGTCGCAGCGACATATACATGTAGAACACGGCACAAAATTGAAAGGAATTATGTAGACAATGAAACCAATTTGAATTTTATCTATAGAAAAATCAAACAGCACTTAATGACAATAGGCAGACATCTGAAACCCTGCAAAGTGCCAGTCGCGATTGCCCTACCGGTGTCTTTCAATTCCTTTGAAAATCGAGACAGCTCCATACATTCGACTTATTAGTGAGTAGGCCAGATCAGAACGCCATGCAGCACACAGATATACGGCCACCACCACCACTCACCGTTCATGGGCATCTCGTCGATCTGTGTCGAGTAGTACTGCTCGATGTCGCGCAGGATGCGGATGTCGTCCGCCTTGACGAAGTTGATGGCGACACCCTTGCGTCCGAATCGTCCCGAGCGACCGATCCGGTGGATGTAGAGCTCACGGTTGTTGGGCAGGTCGTAGTTGATGACCAGGGAGACCTGCTGCACGTCGATACCGCGAGCCCAGACGTCCGTGGTGATGAGCACCCGGCTGTGACCTGGTGAGAGTGGAAAAGAAGGTCAGTGGTTTGTGGTCAGAAGAGGGGGGATAATGATGGATAGAATTACACCCCGACTGCTTTGGCCATTCGTGGCGCTCAAAGAGGACACATGGCGTGTTACTCTCAATGTATGTGACCACAAAGAGGAATGAGAGGGGCCACAGAAGACGGGATCACTGTGGGTCAGATATGACAGGCGGAGGGCAGTAGAGCTCACGAACGACCAGGCTTGTGAGCGCCAGTAACAGCATTTGTTTACTATGCATTTCAGACCCCATGAGACCCTAATTTTTGACGATAATTTGTTCAATATTTGTCCAATTTGCTTCAAATTTTCACAATGCACATTTCAGCTCAAGCGCCAATTTTCGCCAATATGGTCTCTTAACAAAATATCAAATTTTAGGGTACTTATCGTTGCCTCGTAATGTTAAAATCGGCTCCGTAAATCCGTCAGTGGAGTAGAGGCTATCCGTGCGTAGGTGTGACGTCACAAACACGTGACCATTAAGCTCCGCCCTCCCGGCGGACGGGGTAGTGACCTTGGCCGGTCAGTCGGCTGCGTGGAGCGGGCGGGGCAGTAGCTGTCGCACCGGGGCGTCTCGCATGGACCGTAGCTGCCGTGCAGTTGTCGTTGCAGCCGTAATTTCATCGAATGAGCTAAATAGCGCGCATAAGTAACGCACCAGCTGAAGCCCTCGACTAATTGTATCTATCACAAATGTACGTACACCTTGTTCAGTCACAAAAAATATATATTTCCACACAAGATTCGGGGCTTGTGAAAAAACGCGCATAAAAGACGCTGTTGATTTCAAATGATGGCGTAAGATTATGTATCGCGTCAGACTACGTCAAAATTGCAAAACAGAATCACCATTAACATGATGCAATTTATGTGTTTGATATATGAAATTTGATTAGGAATGTATGCCGGCGTGATCGATTTATATCATCCCGGTGCAACTAAGCATTGAACACCTTCAGGACTAATCCATTTGATCATCGACTTAGGTTGAGGAGGTCGCCAGACTAACTTTGCCCCCAGAGCTTGTGTGTTGAAATGCAAACATGAAAAGTAAAAGCCTAGAGATAGTTTCCTCACCATTGAGGACATACCTACTGTTACTTAAGTTTTACAAAAAAAAGATACGAGTTTATTGATGATCGTTCTCGTGTAGTGCCCAACGTCCACCTGCCACATTGCTATTTCTTTTTGTGCACGTCTTAACAATATAACACAACACACACATGACACCGCGATAAAGGCCATTTCTACCATACGACACATTACGCTTCTGCCCCAGCCGGCGCCCCGCACCGCTTCACGAATCACGAATACGGTCGTTTCGCTGGAGCGATGCCCCAGGCAATCGGCCGCTCCCGAGACTCTTCATCCTACTTTGTTGCTTTCTGCGCCTTCCTCAGAAACATTTATTAGTGGCACTGCCAAATATATATATTTTTGGGTCAAGCAGAGGCTTACACATGATCTTATAGGTAATCAGGTAGTGACCTGACCCAACCTGACGATGAGATAGGTGCAACTCCGGCTTAAATAAATGTTCAAAGTCCAAGAGTCTATCCACCATTCTTTCTACGGCTGGTTCCGTTCCAATAGATTCTACCTTGATTCTGATCATTCTGAATATTCTGAGCTGAGGCCTCTTGCGCCAAAATACCTAGCTAGGTAGAATCGGCAAAATACCTACCTAGTAAAACTACCTACGGCGGTAACTTCTCTTGCACCATCCTACCTACCTACCTAGGTAAATTTGACAGCTCGCGTTTTTAGGATTTGTTTTGATTGGCTGTTTGGCGACGAATTATTTGTGGGCGCAAACAAATAGTAACTAAAGAAAACAATTAAACGGATATTGTTTTTATTAATATACATTTTGGTATTATGAAATCATTTTTTATTTACGTAAATACCGATAAAAGTTATTTTGATATAAAATTACTTGAACAAATAAGCTTCGTTTCCATGGCAACGTGTGAGTCTTCAACCTGGCTGTTCTGTTACGGAGGTTTATCGCCTTGGTACAGAGAAGCACCTCTGTGAACCCATGAAGCATTTGGCCAATTATATTATTATTCACTCATAAAACATTAATTTATCATTGTCTAAACATTTTGTAATGCCTAATTTACATAAAAGTACCCGTGGATTATCATGTATTGTGCCTATTGTTACTAATTGAATCATTTTACCTAAGGTTTTGCTAGTTATTTTGGAAGCCCGCGTTTACCGTCAAACCGTCAAAAATCCCTCCGCGAGTACTTCTTTCCGGCTTTCGGTGCAAGAGGAAAACAGCCGGTCGGACTTTAACAATTGGTATGTTCTTATGCCGCTCGGTAGAATTTCTAGGTAAATTTTCACGGTAGCGTTTTTTGGTAGGTAGTTTGGTGCAAGAGAATCTAGGTAAAATCTGAATTTACCTAGGTAGGTAGTTTGGTGCAAGAGGCCTCTGGTTCGACGTTTAAATACCAAAATAAGGTGAAGAGGATACCAAATGCCCTCAAACGGATAATATTTTGGCTTTCGTCCCGAAACAACTTTGCCAGCTTCACTTGTCTCCAGTAGGTATGTGGTCCCGCTCCGACCTCTCCGCGGTGCTGACACCGACTGAAGCGGCATAGACCCATCGCGGTCACGGCCAGTGGGCGGAGTTTAGTTGGGCCCGGCGCAACGTGATTGGCCAGCGCTCCTATCCAATCCCGTGCGGTAGCGAGCGAGCCTCTATCCGGGTGCAAAAACTGATTAACATTACGAGCCAACGACAAGTGCTCTAAATTTTGATATTTTGTTAAGAGACCATATTGACAAAAATTGGCGCTTGAGCTGAAATATCGTTTGCCAAAATTTCAAGCTAATTGGACAAAAATTGAAGAAATTATCGCCGAAAAGTAGGGTCTCATGGGGTCTGAAATGCATAGTAGTTGTCCATGGAAGCTTTAACCCTCGCCCGTATAGGGGGGGGTCGAACGGACCCCCCCCCCCCTATGGTTTTTCGCGAATAACTCGCGTAAAAAGCGGACGATTGCGACGAAACTTTCAGTACCCTCGCGTTCATCAATTTCACACCTACCCTGAAAATTTCATGACCCTGACCCAAATGACCTTTGACCTTTGACCTACTTTTCGAGACCATGTTTGGCTGGAATCGCGATTCGGCGTATATCGGCTCGCATTAGCCGCGCGTTTGCAGTCTTTTCGTGGTTTCAAGCGTTCAAACATGTGATATGATGTTGCCCCCATGCATTAGGGTGGATGTCAAGGTCACCTGAAGGTCAGGTCAGGTCATTGACCTTTGATGACCTCGGTTCACTTTTTCGAGTTTTACATGTTTCTAGGCCAGTTTTTGGAGCTGAATTCGAATTTAGCAACCATATGAACATTTACAAAGTAGTTTTGGTGCCTTCGTAACATGTTGCGAAGCTGTCAGAGGCGGTTGCCACCTACTACGAATACCCTTACTGGTTGACCTGACCTGACCTGACCCGACCTGGCCTAAATACATGAAGACATCATCTGTGATCAAAACTAACATGATATTCGTGATCAGCACCCCGATAAACCCCATAGCAGCCACACTTTACGACGTTCTAACAGGTCCCGATTTTCCCGCCTTTGGGGTCATTGACCTGACCTGCAAGGTCAACCAATGACCTAGGACCTTAAAATTGGGTATCATCGGCTTCCTCTCATCACGGGCAACACGCTCGTTTTTTCCGCGAAGCTCTAGCTCGATCAGGGGCGAAACGGCAAGGGGGGTCCAACGGACCCCCTCCCCCTTATACGTTCGCGGCTAGAAAAACACCAGTACGGGCGAGGGTTAAGGCGAAGTGTCAAAGGAAGTAAGCGAATAGTAAGGGGAGAGAAACGCACCTGCCCTGAACTCCTTCATGATGGCCTCTCGCTCCTTCTGCGGCATGTCTCCGTGCATGGAGGTGACGGTGAAGTTGGCCTCGCGCATCTTCTCCGTCAGCCAGTCCACCTGCGGCAGAAACCAGCGGCAACGTCACACCACACACCAACACATGAACAGAGTGAACACCGTGGGTTCCCAAAAACAATGACCATGAAATAAATAAAAATCACTGTTTTTACCTACATAAAATGCCAATTTCACAATACGTAGAGGGTGGTGTTAAACACAGCAGGGCTGCGGAGTCGGAGTCGGAGTCGGAGTCGGTCGGAGTCGACAGTTGTGACCGGAGTTGGAGTCGGAGTCGATTTTAGAAACCCAAGCCGGAGTCGGAGTCGGAGTCACCGAAAATCTGTCGACTCCGCAGCCCTGCTAGGTCTACGGAGAGTCGTTCGGAGTCGACAATTCTGCCCGGAGTCGGAGTCGGAGTCGAAGCTGGTATTTGAAAGCCGGAGTCGGAGTCGGAGTCGCCGAAAATTCATCGACTCCGCAGCCCTGAACACAGACCCACTAGCCCACTCCCTAGGCTTACACTAATTAACCTCGACCACGCAGATTACTGTCCGCGTTCTACCCATCCACGCCCGTGACGCTCTGCCAGCGGCCGCCGTGCTCACCTTCCTCTTCGTGTTGCAGAAGATGACGGCCTGTGTGATGGTGAGCGTGTCGTATAGGTCGCAAAGCGTGTCAAACTTCCACTCTTCGCGCTCCACGGCCACGAAGAACTGCTTGATGCCCTCCAGCGTCAACTCGTCACGTTTGACCAGGATGCGAATTGGGTCCGTCATGAACTTGCTGGTCATCTCGAGGATCTCGTGCGGCAGTGTGGCTGACAGCAGCACCACCTGTTGGCAGACGGCGGAGGTTGGAAGAGACGCAGACCGCCACGGACGCGGCATACATAAATGGCTGACATGAATACGCCAATATGCACTAGATAAGCATGAGCCATGATCACAGTATCCAAATGACAAAGAGCAAGTGAATTAAGAAGCAGAATCATTGTTCGCCGATTAATCTCGTAAATGTTAATAAGCATATTTAGCATCAAAACTGAAAACTATAATTGCGGCCATTTGTGTGGCAGGTGCAGACTGGCCGCAAAGAGCGCCATAGACTTCACCACGGTACGTCATTAGCTGCTGCATGCCTTTGCGTCTAACCTGGGTGGCCGGCGGCAGGTAGCGGTACACGTCGTAGATCTGCTCCTTGAAGCCCTTGTTGAGCATCTCGTCTGACTCGTCCAGTACCAGCATCTTGATGGAGCGGGTGCGCAGTGTCCGGCGACGAATCATGTCTGGGAAGGCGGAGGACACGTCCAGTAACACGATCGGCGTTTGGAGCACTCGAGCTCCGCAGAGGAGTCTTCACAAGGCACATATTGGCAAGAACTAGCGACTCTGTCTAATCACCCAGCTAAGCACTTTTTACGGAGCGAGCGAAGCGAGCGGAGTCTTTCCTTAGATTAACGGAAATTTCTGAGTATGAGCGGCCGGCCGGCCGGCCGGCCGGCCGGCCGTGGGGACGCTCTTCAAAAGCTAATATCTTAGGAACGGGACATCCGATTGACAAGCGGTCTTCTTTACTGAATGTCACTTGGACGTAAAAGTTCTGTGGTGTGATGGCCACCATGCGTTCTTGCCAACCACCGCACGTGGCGCGTGGTAAAGTTGGACATTTTTTAAGAACCCCCAAAATTGCAACCTCAATAACGGCACAACGGTTGGGCCGATTGAATTGAAACTCGGTACACAGTTAGGTCTCCATCAGATAATTCATCTGCCTGTGTTAAGGTTGGGGTGCTGCTGCACGTGCGCACGTGCAGGGGTCGTTTCCAGATCTCGAGAACGGCTGGACCGATGGCGCTCAAATTTGGTACACGGTTAGGGACCAGTTAGTAGGGTGCCGTGCACAAGTCAGTTGGGACCCATTTTGCACGTGCGCACGTGCAGGGTGCCGCTTCCAGATCTCGAGAACGGCTGGGCCGATTGTGCTCAAATTTGGCACATCGCTAAAGACCGGTTAGTAGGATGCAGTGCACAAGTTAGTTGGAGGTACCCCCTCGCAATTTCGCACGTGCAAGGCCCATCCTCTCGCTCGCTCCGTTAGTCGCCCCATAAGGCGTTATACTGGTTGTTACAACTTACAGCCTATCACTTCAAGCATGCTCTCGATTCCATACTTACTCAGCAGTGGCATTAGCACTCCCTGACTCATCATTTTACTCAGTTATGACTCGTGCTCCGACTGGCGACTCACCGAAGACACGTCCCGGTGTGCCGGAGACCACGTGCTGTCCGTAGTCGAGTTTGCGGATGTCCTCTCCGAGACTGGTGCCTCCGATACACGAGTGGCACTGCACGTTCATGTAGTCTCCCAGAGCCAGGATCACCTGTGGCAGAGGACAAAACATGTCCAAATCACTTATGGTGAACAAATTACGAGTATTTCAAAATAACAAAAGCAGCAGCTTACGTGTACAAAAAGGTGTTGATCCCACATCCCCCTCCACAACTAGAGTTAGCAGCATTCCTGATATAAACTTCAGCATTGTAAGATGATCAACGCTCACTGGCAATAGCGACGATGCAAATTTCTAATTGAAGTAGCCGCTCTTATCACAAATAGGATAGGCTCGTCTGCACAGCCTACCCCAAATAAGGATCCACCCATAAACGGTTATATCTAATTACGGAGCGAGCGAAGCGAGCGGAGTCTCATACTGAATTAAGGGGAAATCCTGAGTATGAGCGGCCGGCCGGCCGGCCGGCCGTGGGGACGCTCTTCAAAAGCTAATATTTTAGGAACGGGACATCCGATTGACAAGCGGTCTTCTTTACTGAATGTCACTTGGACGTAAAAGTTCTGTGGTGTGATGGCCACCATGCGTTCTTGCTAACCACCGCACGTGGCGCGTGGTAAAGTTGGACATTTTTTAAGAACCCCCAAAATTGCAACCTCAATAACGGCACAACGGTTGGGCCGATTGAATTGAAACTCGGTACACAGTTAGGTCTCCATCAGATAATTCATCTGCATGTGTTAAGGTTGGGGTGCTACAGCACGTGCGCACGTGCAGGGGGCGCTCCCAGATCTCGAGAACGGCTGGGCCGATGGCGCTCAAATTTGGTACACGGTTGGGGACCAATTAGTAGGGTGCCGTGCAAAAGTCAGTTTGGACCCCGCTTGCACGTGCGCACGTGCAGTGTGCCGCTTCCAGATCTCGAGAACGGCTAGGCCGATTGCGCTGAAATTTGGCACATCGCTAAAGACCGGTTAGTAGGGTGCAGTGCATAAGTTAGTTGGAGGTATCCCCTCGCAATTTCGCACGTGCAAGGCCCATCCTCTCGCTCGCTCCGTTGGTCGCCCAAAAGGCGTTTTACTGGTCAGTACAGTTTGGAATAAGTCCCACAGATACTCTCGTTTTCCTCACCTTCTGAATCTGCACGGCCAGCTCGCGCGTGGGCGACAGGATCAGCACCTGGGTCTCGCGCAGCGTCGTGTCCAGGCTCTGCAGTACCGCGATGGAGAAGGTGGCCGTCTTACCGGTACCCGACTGAGCCTGAGCAATCACATCGCGACCTTTCTGGATCGGACGGATGGCACGCTGCTGAATGGCTGATGGACGCTCGAAACCTGCCGATACCGACCGAAGAATAGTGTCAGTTTGGGCACAGAAGGCTGTCAGGTGATATCAGAGTTCAGACGGAGCAAGTGGTAACGATCAAATCCGGAAATCGACGATCGATTCAGGACACGGTGCAGGTCACAGTAATGGTTAGATCGAGACACCGGCCGGTCGACAACAGTTGGTTCGGGTCCTGAACGGCCGGCAGCGATCGGTTTGGGTTTTGACCGGTCGGTTAGTTAGTTCCGTTCTGATCGGCCGGCAATGGTTAGTTCGGGTCCCGGAAGGTTGATTAGTGATGAGTCCGAGTCCCAAACGGCCGATAACCGTCGGTTCGGGTCCCGGTCGGTCGGTAACTATAAATTCCGGACTCAGTAGCAGGGCTGCGGAGTCGGAGTCGGAGTCGGAGTCGGAGTCGGTCGGAGTCGACAGTTGTGACCGGAGTCGGAGTCGGAGTCGGAGTCGATTTTAGAAACCCGAGCCGGAGTCGGAGTCGGAGTCACCGAAAATCTGTCGACTCCGCAGCCCTGCTAGGTCTGCGGAGTCGGAGTCGGGAGTTGGAGTCGGTCGGAGTCGACAATTCTGCCGGGAGTCGGAGTCGGAGTCGGAGCCGGTTTTTGAAAGCCGGAGTCGGAGTCGGAGTCGGAGTCGCCGAAAATCCATCGACTCCGCAGCCCTGCTCAGTAGGGTGGTAGTGATTACATAGTTCGTGTTCCAATCGGCCAGCAAGGGTCAGAATGGGTCCCGGTTGGTCGATAGCGATCAATTCGGGTCCCGATGAGTTGTAAGGATCAGTTTGGGTCCTCGCTGGTCTGTAGTTACCAGTTTGGGTTCTGGCAGGCTTCACATAACCACTCAGGCTGGCAGGGGCACAGGTGCTAGCTCACCATATGCATATATTCCTCTGAGAAGATCTTCACGAAGGTTCATATTATCAAAAGTTGGCACAACCTCAACATCTTCACTTGTTTCAAATTCAACATTTGATAGATCTTCAAGATTTTGGTTCTTTCTTCCCACTCTTCCAGGCTCCATGACTAAAAAATGTGTTTTGAGCTTAAATATAAAGGCACCTCCAAACCTCTGTCACCTGAAATAGAAAAATGCCTGATTTAAAAGGGAATCTACACAAAAAAATGCTTCATGTTATTGTTGAATGAGCATATAATGCATAATAAATCAAGACTCATGAAAAAAATTCTAGTACCTACCTAATACACATTTAAATGCATTATTAAATCAGGTAGTTAAATGAACTAAAATGACACCAGCCACCTCCATACACAGAGATGCATATAGCTGCCTAAGATCTTCCCAACAGCTGGTGCCTACAGAAATACCTTACTGGCAGCTGAGGATCAGAAAGGTATTTAGCTTACTGGAAGATTATCCAAAAGTGAGTGAAATGACAACATATTTCACAGTGCATACAGTCCACATTCATACAGTACAGTCCATTTTCATATCCTGCCATAACTACCAGTTGTTTAATATAGACAAACACTATTCGTTAGAACTGTTTTTGTATTTCAATACCTACATGTCTATCCTAAGGCCTACATGTAAGCTAGTGTAGGAATCAAAAGCATTGTGGCTCTCGTGGTTGCTCCAACCTCCCCTAAGCTCCTCTAACCTTTTCTCATTCTGCAAACAGCTGATATCCTCAGAGAATGAGAAATGTTCCTAGGGCTGGTCTAAAATGGCTTTCCTCAAAACTCATGAAATATCTTCGAAGATTTATCTTGACATTTACCAATTAACCAAAGAACAAACCTATTTATAACTATTCCAATTCAGTATTTTGCTTTGACTTCCTTGCACACAGTAACAGCTACAGTCCAGCAATGGCACAAATTAGCATTTGAGATATTTTGAGGCCTAAATGCATTTAAAACAGGCTTCACAGATGCAATGTTGGCAAATGTAAAAAATTTCAGGAAACTGAGGGCTGTTCGGGTCCTTGCAGCATAAATCTGTGCTGCGCGCATCATACTTGGGTGACGTCAGCCGCCTGGCTCCGCCCACCCTCCGCCGGCACGCTGGAGCTGAGCACCACTGCAGCCTATTCCACGCGCAGTGAACCGCGACGCGGTGATTGTCGTTGAAATAACCCTTAAAATGTGGTCAAATGTGGTCAATCTCAATGTGCCAATGAAAAGTGATAGTGATAAAAAACAGCATACAAACCACTTACAATGAGAAATATTGGATGATTAACTTAAATCCGTGCCACTAACGCCTCCTGCAGTTGCTATTTTCGTGCTGCAGGAAAAAGAAGCATGCTTCAATAGGTGACGATGTCACACAGGCGATGACGCAGTGGTGTCGGCGGGACTAACAGGAGCCATAGCCCTCACTGTGCATGCATGCTGCAGCATATTTCATTTTAGCTGTGCAGCCAAACAGCCCTCTGACTACCTATACTGACAAAACCCCAGAGTTTGAGTTGCGCGCAAACTCATGTTTCAATAAAAGCATATTTAATTCAAGCATGCAAAATGCTTTTCACGATTATTTTGCACCTACTGCACAAGAAAATAGCATTGGATCTAAGCGCCTATTCACGGTATAAGATACCTACCCGACCGCATAAACTCAAAATAATTTTCCCAGTAACCTCATGCGAATACCACGAGAGCCAATGGCAAATGGCCGACGCCAAAACCCATCATTGCGGCTCATATGCCTTACGTCGGCCATTTATGTTTTTATTCAAGAGTAAAAACAAATAGTTGAAAATTTTTGAATTAATTTCATTTTTAAGCCTTTGATTTCTTTTTAAGTAATCGTTCTTAAATTTTTATTAAATGATATTAATTTTTTTAGTTTTTAAAGCACCTAAACCTTTACTTGGACCATAAACGATTAGAATATTTTACCTTCTACGAGCCATGAAAATTATGAGAGCAGAAAAAGCATCATGCACTGAACGTACTGAACATCAAGCTGAACATGCACTTCCGTGGCTCGATTGTTTCAGTTTTGGTGGGCGGCGTGTTGACGTGGCGTGGAGTCTGGGGCAAGTCTGTGGGGGATTGTCTGGGGTTCTTAGATGTAAGCAATTGGGATGAATGGGATAAGAACGCTTTGTTCATAATAAATTTTAACACCCTGATGTAGATTGAGCTAAACGTGTTCGATTCCTGGGCGTAACAGATCCAGGCTAGAGTCTTCAAAATTGAGCCTGCTGGACAACAAATTAAATCGTTTTTTAAGCAGCCCGGTCTATTGGGAAGTTCCTGGATTAAGACAGTTGGATTTTGACTAACAAAAAAATATCTTTGCTTGCTGACAAATATGCAAGATTTCATTTTGATTTTGCGCTTGGGAGACACGAGAGTGACGAGTGCTGTTTGTTGTAAAAGGGCTTTGTCTTTGCTCATGGTGATCTGACCAGATTCTAACACAGTGTCATTTCAGGACAATGTCTGAGCCAAATTCTGCCACGGCTGCTGCTCAGCAGCTGTACTGGTCCAGTGTTCATGACACTTGGGTTACCAGGCTGTTCATCAACCTGCTTGGATACAGCTCCATTATCATACCAGGCTACCTGTTGATCAAGTACTTCAAAAGCAAGAACTATGAAGATAGGACAGGTATGTATTGAGCTAAGACATTAAGAGTTCAGATTTGGGGATACTTTTTAGCCCTATTAATCCTGCTGCTATCAAATGTCAGGTCAGTTTTCACCCCCATAGTTACAAGGCAATGGGAGGGTGTGAAATTGAGCCTTTTTTGGACTGAAGTCATGCCTAAAATTATCAGTCATGGTTTCCTAGGCTTCCATTGAATGCTACCTAAGGTATGATATTGTGCCAGTGACCCAACCTCTCTGGTCAAATAATCTGGTCATGTTGACCATTGGGTCATTTCATATGGCAAGCAAGGTCACAAACAGTTTTTGAATAGGTAGTGACTTTCATAGAGACATGCTAATGGGCTTAAATATTTTGATGGGTTCAGGTCAACAAGGTTGATTGATAACAGATTGATATGCATATGACCTTTTCATTGTTCAATCAGGACCACTTGGTTAAGTCAAGTTAACCTCTTAACCCTCGCCCATGTAGGGGGGGGGGGTTGGTGCAACCCCCCCCCCCCCCTGAGGTTTTTCGGAAATAGTGCAAAAACGGCGGCGCGCAGCGCCGCCAAATTTTGGGTACCTTATGGGGCAAACCTTGCGCATCTTTTGATAAAAAAAAATTTGACCGGGTCATGTCAGGTCACGGAGTTATGACGTCACAAAGGGAACAGCCTCCGGCCGGATTTTCACAAACTGAGTGCCAACGCCCGAGGTTTCCTGCCGGTGGTACGGACATCGGTTGATGGATCGTGATGAAACTTCCCATGCATGTTGGGGCAAGTATTGGCTATCATATGGTATAAGAAACTTGACCGGGTCAGGTCAGGTCACGGAGCTATGACGTCACAAGAGGAACAGCGTCCGGTACTATTTTTGAAAAGCGCCCGAACCACTATTTTGCTGATTCTTCTCACCTCGATGGGAATATGCAGCAATATTAGCTTCTATAGGGAGCAAATGGACCTCCCAAATCCAAAAATACAATCAGATTTCAAAAATTTAAATTTTGATTTTTCGAATTTCTGCCGCCGACTGTGACCTTGCCGACTTCTGGCGCTCCCAACGCGCCATTTTTAGAGCTAGGGAAACGAAATACATACCAAACGATAGAGAATTGATCAAGGAACACGTTAGTGAAGGTTTCAAGTCGGTATCTCCCACCGTTTTGCCGCAATCGCCGCGGAAAGTTGAAAAAGTCTATTTTTCCGAAAAATTTGACCTTTGACCGGTCAAAAGTAGGTCAAATGTTGACCTAGGACCAAAAAATATACCACCAATCGCGAGATCTCGGCGAGAGCAATCCGTTGGTCTTTTCCGCGAAGCTCTACGACGCTCCGTTTTCAAACGCCAAGGGGGGGGTCGCACCAACCCCCCCCCCCCTCCCCTGCATGGGCGAAGGTGGCAGATCGCCGTTTACGGGCGAGGGTTAAGTTAAAGTTGTAGTTCATTTGACACACCTCAGCAAAAGAAACATGGTGCTGGATGGCGGATGCTCAATACCCTACAAGCTTTGTGTCAAAAGCTTTTGCATGAAAACTTTTTGTGACAAGTACCATCAGCCTGCACTTTGATGCTTAACAGCCATGCTTATGAACTACCTATCCTTCCAGCTTTAATAAGGTGGTTAGCTCAAACCACTAGTATGGAGCAGCTTAACCCATGCCAGGTCTTCGTTTCTCACTATTTGACCCGACCGAGGTAGGGGGCGCGGGTACCGCGAACTTCTCACTATTCCACCATTAAGTGAGAAAGGGCTTCACAAATAAATCAAAGATGTTGAACCTTACAACATTCGATGGAGGATACATCCTTCACCATACGATCTCCACGATCCCTCTCTCACATGTCCCGTGCTTCCGCCGCGTGCAGGAGAGCGGGGCTGTATGGACGCGGCCGTGCGCTCGTGTGTGTTCGGGGCGGACGGCGCCTCCCTACTGCCCACCACGGAGCCCGGTGGCGCCGGCACGGGGTCCTCCAGCGGCCCGCGCGAGCACCCGCCTCTGCGACAGGCCATGGTGCTTGTGTTCTGCGTGGTGGGTCTGCTCGGATCCTACCTCAGCTGGGGCGTGCTGCAGGAGAAAATCATGACCAAGGTGAGTGCTTGGGAGTACGGATGATAGCGGGTAACGAGAGCCGAGGTAGGAGAGAATGTCACTTAGAGTGGAGGGATGATGATGTGATTTGTACCGCTCACATGTTTTTGCGTCGCAGCTGCGACTCGGACGGCGTTGGTTACTGTATCCGACTGCCTGCACAGCGTCCGTCCCCACCGCCGGCAGGAGTACGATAACGGCACACCGGAGCGGGGCCGGTTCTCCGACTCCCAGTTCCTGGTGTTCGTGAACCGTGTGTTCGCGCTGCTGCTGTCGGCGGCGTACCTGGCGGTGGTGCGCCACCAGCGTCACCGCGCGCCCCTCTACAAGTACTCGTACTGCAGCTTCTCCAACATCATGTCCAGCTGGTGTCAGTATGAGGCGCTCAAGTTTGTCAGCTTCCCCACCCAGGTGAGGCCTCGCCCGGTGAATTAGCTCAGGGAAGGCGCCCAGAACGGCTCTCGTTTATTTCTGGTATATCATTAATCACCCTGTGATCTACTCACATTAAATATGGACAATAATGTGGGAGTACCCATATAGCGCGGATTCCGGGCCAATTTGAGACATTTGATACCTCATCGTAAGTGCTGTTTTCTACCGTCATTTTTACGTTTGCAGGTGTTGGCAAAAGCGTCGAAGATTATACCTGTGATGCTTATGGGTAAAATAGTGAGCAAGAACAAATATGAATATTACGAATATGTTGTTGCTATACTTATTTCTATTGGAATGACGTTCTTCCTAATGGGAGCAACTGAGGAAAAGAACAGTAAGTACAGAATGCAGCGATGCTCGATCGGTTATTGGCATGCGTGTTTTATAAACAATGTGGAGTATTTGTTCGTGTATCCCCTAAAGCTTAATCGGTTTATATCACAGTCGTATCCTTTTCCGAGAAACGATCGCCATGCATGAGGCACAAACAGTTTTACCCGTCCGGTGAAGGCTGCAATGTCGCTCCGATTTTCCCACAACAGCAGCTTAGGAATGCATTGGAAATCAACCCCCTCATTATTTTGTCATGACCTAGACATGACCTGTCATAGCCCGCCCCAGCGAGTATTGAATGACGATGGCTGCACCTTCCCACATGTATGTACCACTTGGAGTTCATTTGTAACTGGGGTTTGCTGCGTTTATGTTGTTTTGGTGTCATATTCTGGGCGCTAAACTCTGGTGCTTTTCCACTTACCTTAGCACATCAGCAACCCTATGTCGATCAATTCCCGAATCCCGTGTTTGATCGCTGATTGCAGACATGACATTCGCTCCTTTTTATATGTACAGCATTCCTGTTTGTTCGTCATCGAATCCCGGTGAATATGAGGCTGCGTGGTTGCTTGATATGACTGGTAATGTTAGTGACATACGTTGTACGGCTGGTATTCGAGACTGTCCCGATATCCCCCTTAAATGTGACTGCTTCGGCGTCACGATGCGATCGAAATGACGATGTTTCACAGTGAACAGATCAAAAGCACGTTCTGGGTTGAACTCTGGTGCACCGCTGATAGTCTGGCAGCTCGGCAGTGAATAACACTGGGTGGGTTAAGGGTTTCGGGCGCGGTGACGGCTGACGAATGATGTTGACTCCTTGGCCTCCAAACATACACAAACACGCACTGGAATGTCCAAAGTGCGAACTCCTCCCCACCCTTCCTTGACGCCGACCTCGCCTCCGCTTTTTCAGTGTGGCTACCTACTCGGCTACTCTTGTCTTTCTCAGGCTGCCAGGTCATGTTTCCCCCCAGAGGGGAGAGTGACCCGTCCCCCGCTTTAAGTCTTTAACACCAGACATTGACCAGACATAAACCCATCCTGCCTTCCCCATACGCTGACCTCGCCCTCGCCGGCCCTTCCTCAGAGGGCACGGTGACCACCTTCAGCGGCATCATCATCCTGATCGGCTACATGGTGTTCGACTCGTTCACCTCCAACTGGCAGAACGCCCTGTACAAGGAGTACAGCGTCTCCTCGGTGCAGATGATGTGCGGCGTCAACCTCTTCAGCTGCCTCTTCACCACCGTCTCGCTGCTGCAGCAGGGCGGCTTCGTCACCAGCGCCCACTTCATGATGAAGGTGCGTCATGGAAGTTCAGTGTTGTGCTGCTAGTGACAGTGTTCACCGCGGTACGACACCTGCCGCGCACGGGTAAAGCCGATAACGACCCAAAGCTGAACGTCTACGAGAGTTCCTAAGCACTAAGCAGTCAGGCAGCAGGGGTAATTTTGGGGTAATAGGTGTAACTGGGTTCGTCCCTTCCTCTGGTAAATGTATAGAATATAACTAGTGCTGTTTGTTGCGATATTATTGCATAGCGTGTATCGCACTGCTACCGCTGAAGGAATGTTTTTCTCTTCCGTCATTTATTATTATGATTTTTTTTTTTAGTAACGGAATAGATTTCAGTGGTTTAAGTCAGAGGTATATACGGTGCAATTATCGTATCTGACTCGTAGTACAATCCTGAGACACTTGGTCAGCTGGAAAACCTGTTCTCCACCCGGTAAATTGTGTCTCTCCGTGGTGAAGGAAAAGTGGGCTGGTCACGCCGTCTGCCACAGTTTCCGGTATCGGCCAACGGTCAGTCACGCTTCTAAAGGGAAAAGTTTTCACACGGTAATCACCAAAAATACACTTTCCCTTTCTCTCTGTTACTCTTTTTTGGCAATATTATGGGGCGCAATTGAGTGTTATGTTACTAGGGGACTCAAAATTGTCATCACCTCAAAGTGGAAAATTCGCTTTCAGTTTCAAATTTATCTATTTAGGTAATCTCGGATATAGTCAACCATAGACCTCTGTACACCAGTGTACAGAGTACAGAGGTCTATGATACAGAGGTCAGAGGTATACAGAGGTCACCAGGTGTACAGAGGTCTATGAGTCAACTGATTTATAAGCATATTTTGGTTTGATACTCCCTATAATGGGACTTGTGCATAAAACGTTCAATACCGTTTTGCTACGTGTAAACTCGACAGAGTCTGCAAACATTTGCGGACACCCAGCGAACCGTCACTATCAGGCAACTGCCACCCTGGCGCTGCCCTGTCCCGTGTGACGGGCCGCATTGTTCTTCCCGGCCATTACCCGACATTTCTAGTAGACGGTCTGATGCTGCCAGTGTTCCGTCTGACTGACCTCGGTGCCCCAGCCTGACGGTCCGTCCTGTTCTGTTCCATGAGTATCCGATGTTTCTGGTAGACTGTCTGATGCTGTCTGTGTCTAGCCTTTGCGTTCCTCTTAACGATCAGCTCCGTTCTGTCCATCAGCACCTTGCGTTTCTGGTAAACTATCTGATGCTGTCTGTGTCCCTTATGACTAGCCTCCATGTCCTGCCTGACCTTCCACCCTGTTCTCTCCGTCAGTACCCGACGTTTCTGGCCGACTACCTGATGCTGTCGGTGTTCTGTCTTATAATTTACTTTGTTCTCTCTCCATCAGTACCCGACGTTTCTGGCCGACTGTCTGATGCTGTCGGTGTTCTCGGCCGCCGGCCAGATGTTCATCTACTACACCATCTCCCAGTTCGGAGCCGTCGTCTTCACCATCATTATGACCATGCGGCAGGTGCGTGCACTGATCCCGGGGCGAGGGAGGGTCTTATGGGAGCTGTGATCTAATTCTAGGAACTCCAGTCAATGCTAGAAAATATTACGGGTTTTTTAGATACTGGTGCGAACACTCAGTGACGTATTAGTTGTGGATCCAGATATAGCCGCATTGTTTCCCTTTGGCACACATTAGTAGTAATGAGCTCTGCTGATTTCTCATGACATACTTTGGCATTCTTTGGTTGCCACGGTTGTGCTCTAAGCTTGCGTCTTGCTCGTAATTTTATATCTTGATCTAAATTCATAAATCCTTGGTAACTCGCCTGTTGTCATGATACATGAATACGTTAAATGCATTGCCAATAACCATGTTTCATGTCTCGGTTCCAGGGCCTGGCCATCCTGATATCGTGCCTGCTCTACCACCACGCCATCTCTCCGACGGGCGTCATCGGCATCTTCATCGTGTTCGCCGCCATCTTCTTCCGCATCTTCAGCTCGTTCCGGCACCGGCAGCTGAAGCGGGCCGGCCAGCAGCCTGCCGCCGGTGTCGCCAAAGTATGATCCCCGGGTGTGGGCTGTCCCGACGGGCGGTGCTTGCAGTTCGGCCAGGCCTCGAGACGCCACGGCGCGGTTCACCAGGCTAGGAGACGCCAGGTGCTGAGGGGAGTGTTCCCTGTGAGCCCACCAGGTCATCGCACAGGTTACTCGATGGTTGTTCTTCAGGCGCTCGCCAGCCGCCCGATATGTGTGTGTTTGGAGTGTGTGAGAGATGGTCCGAATGTGTAGTTTGGAGTGAATGTCTGGTGTGTGCTGTCTGGGGACCTGTTGCAGTGTTGAGTGGGTCTGCCGAGTGGTTTTTGGGATAGTCATGGTGGCCGGGCTGGTGGGTGCGGTTTGGGAAGTGACCGGCTGGTGGCTCGCTTTTGGTAGAGGCTATTTTGAACTTGAAGTGCTGTGGGAGGTTTTGATGGTTTTGGAGGCTTATTGGTGTACCATGAGTCGGATTAGGCTCTATTTATTTAGTTTTTTTTTTTTTTTTTTGTTCGACCTCGTGCTTCAAGTTAGTATGTTTTAACTAATGAGTAATTTGTTTTTTAATTTATATTTATAACTATTATTTGGGGCCATTCTCAAATTTCATCCTTCAGTTTGTTGGTGACGTATAAACCACCGTTAATTATGTTGAAACCTTCACAACGCGTATCTAACGCGCGTCGTTATATTGAGTCATGGTTGACAAGTTTTATCAGTATTTTTCACTGAGAGGCTTACGTTTCTGTGGGTAATGAAAAGGTAACAAGAAGAATGTTTCCTGTCAATCTAGTCGATTCTATTCTAGACCGCCAGGATTCGGTAGGTACCACAGGGAAAAGTGTTGGAACTCGAAATGTTTGGGCTAGTGACTGCCTTTTTCTGAAATCGCCTACCAATAATGGAAGAGAGGACCATATGATGTCCAATATTTGTACTATATCTGTATATTAACCGGTAGGTGGTGGCTTTGCACCCAGCGCCAAACGGTGTCTTTCCTCGTTACGTTCAGCTGCGACTAGGTGTCGCTCTAATCAGAGGAAGGCACTTGCGTTTCGTCGCTAGCACGACTTTCGGGACAGGAATAACTGTGAGATAGTTTCGAGTCTGCCTTCGACCGCTCAACTTATTGTTAGGTCGTTAATTGTATTTCGCTCTTACCCCGGAGCCGCTGTTTGGATGGTATCATGTGCAGTATGCTGTAATAATTTGGACTGTCGACCGCTGCACGTCGAGTATACTCATGGGGCGCTGTCATATTGGCGCTGGGGCGGTGGCCCGAACGGTAGGGTGGCTGGCGGGTCCTCTAGTGGACGCAGACGGTGCTGGGGCGGCTTGGGGTAGGTAATGCCAACCCCTGGGACATTTGCTGTGGACTTGTGTGCTTTCTGGCTTTATCGCTATATCTGTTGCTTGCTTCCAGGTGACTGCGAAGAATCCAGGCTGCTGATTCCTTCGTAGGCGCTTTTTGCTTCTTGTTAGCCGATCTGCTTGTTATGATGGATTGTTATGCTCTTTTTTACCCTATTAGCTGCCTATGAACTCAACATTTGCCTTTATCGCTTCTGGCTTTTTGCGTACTTCGCCATCCTCTGCTGCTCCTAAAAGTTCCTTATAAGTGCTGAAGGTATCTGTCCCTACCTAGAGGAATATTTAATGTCAGCGTAGCCTGCCCGAGTGCACAACTTTGCAATATTCCTGTGGACTAATAAGGGTCTGATTTCTTGTGTCGTGTGTCACAAATGGGTCCACTGTTTTTTGCATGGAACTTGGATTAAGGGAACCAGTCCTCTATAACACTGATGGCGCCATTTCGTTCAACCATCATTAATCTACTCATAGTCTGTTTGATTATTTGCCGATTCCTTCGCAGTGTCGCACGTTGTTGCTTGCGATTGATAATCAACCGCGAGGGACACTTGACCTTCGCGGGCTCCCGCAGGGTTTTAATGTTTATCTCCAGCTCTCGTCTGTACAGAAGTTCTATTTGTTTCTGTTGCTATTTTTGGGTTCTTTTACTGATAACCTGAGAAGTGGTGCACAAATTCGTGTGGCGTGTTCGCTTGTGTTCTTATTATGTTATCTTTTTCAGACTCATCTTTCGGGCATTTCTATTCATTCTGCCAAAGAAGTAAAGCACTGCTAGCACAGTTTCAGCCATGGTCCGTCCACTCTCACTGTCGTGTTTGTGTCACCGCGTGTTCGGAATCTCTGTGTTTGGTGGACGTACAACGACGTGTTCGGTGACCGTTGGTGTCTTTGTGTGCGCTGGAAACTTGTTTTAGGTGGGAGGTGCATTGTTAGTGTTAAGGAATATTTATTTTTGGCAAGATCAGTGGAAGATTGTGATGGCTTTTTGTACTTTTTGCGCAATGTGCTTCAATAAATGCGCAAATATTAATATTGTTTATATGCGCCTATAGTTTGACAGTAACACGAGAACATATTTTGGTTAAAATCGTATGAAGTAGTTAAAAGAATTGCATACCAATCAGAAACTCCAACCCAGCCAAAGAATCGAACCTGGCGATTCGCACCACAATATCAAGGCTTGAATGAACACAGGTTGACACACATCCAAAAACGTCACTTAACCCGTCTCTCGCCCCACAGCACCTCAAACTGTACTCTCGTGGTTAGGCCGGCCCGGGTTCATTGTGAGACATTTGACTCGTCTAGCCAGGATTTAGCTGCCCCCCCCCCCCCCCATGACAGCAGAGTCCGTGAACCCAGCCGCCTCCGCGATGCTTATTGCATATCACATGAGCGGTTTCCGTGGATAACACCCATGAGTTGGATCCGGGAGGTCTTGACGGAGATGATCCGCCTTTTCTGCCACTACATGCCAGCAATACTGCAATGTGCAACGTTGAGATTGACCTATGCAATAGCAGACTCACTAGACAGACTGGTCACTGACGGTGTTCTGGGGCTTTCATCTCTCGTCATCGCTTCAGAAACGCGCGAGACGTCGTGATAACTGATGGATACAAAGTTATACAATATACATGAATCGATTTAATTGAGCAGTAGGTACGCACTTGACAAATTTATTGCTCGTCCCTTACGGTTGCATGAAGGATCTGATTTCTGTTGGAAATTCTCGGACTATGGAACTGGGTTCAAATGCAAACAGTGACTGTGAGGGCGGGGACCGGGGATGAATCTCGCACGGTGCCACTGCACAGATATCTACAAGGAAGTGATGGCATATCATTTCCCGGCAGCAGTAGTAGTAGATAGCTACCGGCCGCATCTCTAAAACTGTGGGAAGGGCCCAAATGTCGCACTCGCCGTCGTCGCTCCATATTCGTAATTCGACGGCCTGTGGGCCCCAGGGTAAAAACATCGCCAAAACGGTGGCCCATCTTCTCGGGTCAGCCACGGGCCCACGCAAGCCTCCCCATCTAGCTGACCTTGGGAGTCGGGACTGACCCATCCCGGCACCCTGCCATCCAAGGCTATAGAGCTCCCATCAGCGACGCCGGCGACGGGACCATGACTGGCAAAACAGCCGGGGCGGGTCGCACGGGTCGCACGCGCCACTCCTCGCGCTGTAGTCGGATTCATAGGTCGCTGTTGGACAGACGTTCGGTGATCGGGCTTATAGTGCAGATTCAGGTGAGTTGTACGCAGGTGATTGGTTCAGGTGATAGTCACTTATAAAGTGATTAGTACTTCTGTCGGCCGTGTAAAGACTTTTGCCATGTATAGCTGCCGGTTTGGTGGATGCGTGTTCTAGTGAGCCCTGAGGCTGGATTGGCACAAGTCACTCCTCGGATTGTATATTACTTGTGATACCGAGATGTCGGTCAAATATCGTTCCATTCATTTTCCATTCGTCAGTAGTCATATTTGATACCTACCTATTCAATATGTAGCCTGAGGCGTAATAAAGAGGCATCGTTTCTGCATCAGTCGAGCAGCTAATGATTTGTTTAGTGACCATTACCCGTGGCCTTTTATCGATGTAATTGCGGTCGGATATGACCAATTGCCATTTGCACATTTTTGTGTGGCCTCGACAAGGCAATCAATCAACATATCGGAGACTAAAGGTCCTACCATTTCCTCGATGCATGATCATGAGGCCTCCTGATAGCGAGCTGCATACTCGAGTGTGGCGTCATTAAACAAACACCGCCCCACTCGACGACAGGCGGACTGTTTTCCGAGGTCGCCGCACAGCCGCACGGGGCGGGGTCTGACCCAGCTGTGGGACCGATCGGGAGCGCTTCACGGCACCACACGGCAGCGCGCGGCGACGGAGGAAGCTCAGGCAGCGCACCGGCTGGACTGCAGAAGACATGGGACTGACGGTGTTCGCCTTCGAGGCCAGCCCGCCGTGCCGGGGTGTGTTCATCACGCTCAAGGCTCTCGGACTCGAGTACGAGCTGAAGCAGATTGACACCAAGGCGGGGGATACGCGTACCCCCGAGTACCTGGAGAAGAACCCACAGCACACGGTACCGCTTCTGGAGGACGGCGACCTGTACCTGGCGGAAAGGTACGGTGGGGTGATCGGGAATATGGTGGTCTGATCTGGGGTACAGTGGGGTGACTGGGGTACCAAGTGGGGCTATTTGAGACAGTATTTAATCGCTATAAAATGAAGATCGTTTGATTCTTTTGTGATTTTTTCTTCAGGGAGGTGTCGAATCGAGCAGTAAATCGCCTGGACAAAAATTGAGCATAAATTTCAAATGGTTATTTTATAGCAATTTTAAATACTGTCTCAAGTAACCCCACTGTCTCAAATAGCCCTACTTTACGGTATGTCTAATCCGGTTGGTAAGGGTACGATGGGGTGGCACCACGGGTACGGTAGTGTGACAAGATATGAGCATTCTTCACCGAAATGTTCTAACCAAAGCAAACTCCACTTCGACAGGTGTGATTAGACGGTAGTGCATGGCAGGTGGGGCGTTATCGTGACATGGGATACGGAAATATGACAGGTCACACATCCGGGAGTCTAGTGCCTTTCCTTTTCATCGCCAGCCGGTGACGAGAAGTGGCGGTTTGCCTGGTGCTGTGTTTCCGTTCGGACGTCTCTCGCCGTCCATCGAACCGCCGAATGTTATCCCTCCGAGTGTTGTTTCAGCCGCACCCCTGTATCGGTATGTTTACAGCCGAGCCATCAGCACCTACCTGGTGAACAAGTACGCCCCGGACAGCGACCTCTACCCGAAGGACCCGGAGGCACGCGCCCTGGTCGACAGCCGACTCTTCTTCGATGTCGGACTCAACACCGCCCTGCTGCACATTTTGGTATGTGGAACTCTGTTAAAGCCGCTTAGGTACATCGTATCACATGTCTGTTGGCTCAGTCGAGGTGTGCATTTGATTGTCTTATCCGTAATTCTGCTGTAGACCATTTAACTCAGCTTTAAATGACAAGGAGTTAAAAGTTTTGATAAGGAAAACATTCGGAAATTGATTTATTCGGATGCGTCCGTTTACTCATTCATTCGTTCATTCATTTAAATCTACACATATTTTTCATATCATTCATCAGTCTGTTCATCCATCCATTCATTCATTAATATTCGTTCATTCATTTTTTCACTGATACACTCATCCATTGCAATAAAGGCACCTGCCACTTCCGTTTTGTCCATGCGAAGATTGTTGGCAAAATCTTATAATTTGGGCCCAGCGATAATAAACGGTCTCGTACGCTCCTCTGCACTTGCAGTCTGGGTCCATGTCTTAACACTGGTGGTGGTACCAGTAGCGGCGGAACACCTTCAATTAAAGGGGGGGGGGGGCACTGCCGACTTTTGGTCCCATTCTTTCCATGCAACGCCCATAGGGCTAATGTTAAAATGCCAAAACCAAAGGGGGCACAGTGCCCCGGTGCCCTCCCCGTTCCGCCGCCTATGGGTGGGACATAGGCCTTCAGTGGGCCTGTGAAATTCAGGCAGCTATATTGTTTTCTCTGTACTTTGCCAGGAAGTTAAATTCACACTATAATTTAGTTATAAGCGTCTTCCGTTCCGTTTCAGAAACCGCTCAAGTACGATGGCGACATCGCTCGTTCGGACGCCGCCATTCCGGCGCTGCTCGATCTTATAAACATCTTCGAGGCGATGTTGGCTAAATCCGAGTACGCCGCCGGCGACCACGTGACCCTGGCCGACCTGGCCATTGTGGCCAACGTGTCCACGGCAGAGGCTATGGGCCTCGACCTCTCCGGCGTGCCCAAGGTGCGCGCCTGGCTGGACAAGATCAAACAGCTGCCCTGCTACGAGGCTAATGTGCAGGGTGTCACCCAGCTGGGTGTTATGTATAAGGAAGGCTCGACGGCGCTCAGAGCTAAGGCGCAGTGAAGAAGATGCTGAGTAGCATACCATCGTCTATTTTCTGCCCGTCATGACTGTTATCGCAATACAATGTTCCAGCACTCGGCGATTTGTCACAGGCTTCAGTTTGATGAATTTGGTTCGTCTTTTGGTTATTGGCGCCACCGTGGCATTAATGTTAATAGTCTTAATACCTTGGTTGGGCTGTTTTGAAATACCAAAACGGATCCCCGTGTTTACGCCGTTTACCAAGCATTGTATTTCTCTTGGCATCTCTCCGACGTCATTCTGCGATCACTGACTGCGCGAGTTATGCTGAAGAGTTCAAACGATGCGGATATGCCGATGCATGATGCCACTCGGAGCAAGCAACAGCCAAGCAACCCGACCTGGCCCCCTAGAGCTTTGGAATGGGACTATCCATAGACCTCTACATACCTCTCTACATACATACCTACATAGACCTCTCTGCATACGTATGTTGAGGTCTATGGACTATCATAGGCGCGCTCTGGATCTCAGTTGGTACAGCAAGACCTGAGTGTACTTATGCGTCCGTCCCATACTTTGAATTGATTTGTACTGTACGTCCTTTGAGTCTTATCAATTATGTGCTGGTTGTGCTGATGTGCGGACGATACTCTTTAAATTCGTCACTTTCTTATCAGAATTTGTATTTCCTTTTTACTTTTAGCCGTGACGAGATGTGAATCAAACAATCATGCAATGTGTCCGATCGTAGCCAGATTTATGATTTAATTATTTAACGTTTGATTACAACTGGTGGGGGCGAACTTAGTGTCGCCATATCGTCGCTGCGCTGTCATTTCGCAGATCAGAAATCTCGCTTGAGACCCGTAACCTGGCCGAATGGTCGCACTTTACACCGGGTCAACTCGGTTATGACTGCGAAATGGGTTCGTTACAGCCCGTCAAACGCCGCCCAGTCAGAAATATGAAGTCATTTCAATCCTTGATACAGCATGACAGATGAGAGTGTCCATGTATTTGATATGAAAGAAAATTCGCGCTGCGAGGAACTAAGAAGCATTGGGTCTCAGTGTATACTCGATACTCGATAGCTCTATCATTGGGCAAAGACATATTTGTACTGTAAACTATCCAGCCTATTGGTGACCGGCCGACGTCATGCCTGTCACCGCCCGAAGTCCGATCATTTTATTGAGGGCAGGGCTCCGATCCTGCTTTCAGTTCGTTCCGCGTTCACAGCACATCTACTTTCCTCCCAGCTCCTTCAGGGCCTTCTGGTACATAGCACCGAGCATCTGAGCTCCCTCACCGTTGGCCTGCTCGTAGTAGGGCAGCTCGGCCTTCAGCTTGGTCAGCCAGGCCTGCACGTGCGGCCAGCGGGACATGTCAAGACCGCCGGCCTCCACACTGGAGACGTTGGCCAGCGTGGCCAGGTCGGCGATGGTCAAGTGCTCGCCGGCCAGGTACGTGGAGCGCGTCAGGAACGTCTCCAGTAGCGCCATGTTCTCCTCTAGCCGCGGCATGTTCGCCTGGGACATCTTCAGATCCTTTACTTTCCGGAACACCACTGGAAACTGTAACATAGGCGTCGCGACAGCGTTAGAACGGATGATGGCGATGGGTAGACGGCCAGTGATACGACACACGCTCCTAATGCATGTGGCGCTCAACCAGCGGCAAAACCCGTGGGCTTCTAAACGTTGAAATGGTGACGACAATATAAGTCAACAAAAACTGCACGGTGCCAAAACTGTAATCAACGCAACATCTAAAGAAGCTCACACGATGGTTTCTCAGTATTTAGGACCTTGCGTTTCTTATAGAATTTTCGACATAGCCTCCCCACACTCAAACGTTCGTTAACATTTTCGTCGAGACTTTGATGTGGTCTTATCTTACCATGATACCGCGAAGGCTGGCAAACAGCTGGGAATCGAAGTACAGTCTCTGATCCACCAAAGCCCTGGCGGCCGGGTCGCGGGGGTACAGGCTCTGCAAGTTGGCGGGCGCGTACTGGTTCATCATGTAGGTGATGATCGCCTTACTGCCGGAACAAATAGGGGTGGAGGTTCGCTTCTTATCCATCTTGCTAAAATAGAACTTCTCTTTGTGCAATGTGCATATGATTCTCGCATCTGTCACTCGCTGTCACCTACCTGTCACCCACTGACAGCTCGCCGTCTGTCATGACAGGCACGGTGTGTGCCGGGTTCATCTTCAGATACTCGGGAGTGCGGTTCCCTCCATTTGCCAGATCCACTATCTTGAGATTGTAGTCGAGGCCGATGGCTTTAGCCACCAGAAAGGCGGCCCGGCATGCCGGACTCGGCGTGATGGCATAAATGTCAATGCCCATCTTGTAGACTGCGGCGAGACGGGAAGTTTGGATTTCACGTCAACAGGAAGTAGGAACGGCGAAACGTCGAGTGATAATCCGCCCAACGATGTACACGTCGAAACTCACAGTGGTTGTTATAAAACACACATCGCCTCTATAGTAGATAAAAGTCAACCCTAAAGCATAAAAACGTATCTAATTCATTTCTGCTGCCTGCAGACCTTGGAAATTCAAACTCAGCTGCCGTCTAGTGGTTAGATGTCTAAGATATCATAAACACCTGATCTCGTGAAGACGGCTCCAACCATTCGCACAGTTACGCACCGCTGCCGACTGCCTCACCTCAGGCGAATGTCACCGGTCCGGTGCACCTGGTCTGCCTCCTCCCACAGACTGCTGATGGAGACTGGCGCCGGGTCAGCCTCTTCACAGCCCGGCCTTGAGCGGCCAGGCATAGTCAGAATCTGCCGTCTCAGGGTGACTATGCAGGAAATGCCGAATAGAGAATAGAGATGTCAGTCGAATACGGAATTTTTGTTATCGGCAATGCGAAAAAGTGGACTCATATTTAGAGTTCGAACTAAACTAAGCCCATTTTATATTGTTGATTTCATGAACCCACTCTATTCCATAAAATGTTCTGATGTCGGCAATAAAGCTGTTTCCTGATTCTGAACAGCAGTTTTGTTGTATTGTTCAATGTTCATTGTTTTAGGTAGGTATGTATTTGGTTTGGTTTCGGCTTCTCAATATCATAAAATTGGCACCACCATTTATACCGTCGGCAAGTGACCGTCCTCTCGACCCCGGCGGCTGCTCCCCGGCTGGTCTGTCAGAGCGAACCGACGACGCTCCACTCGCATGCCCAATGCTGAGGTCGGGAACCCGCGCCGCACCGCGCCGTCTAGCCCGGCAGATTACATAATGAATTCCTGAACGGCTGCATCGATAATTTTCAAGCCTCCTCTCGTTTTCTGAAATATTTAACAAGTTCCATGCTCGCTTCATTCCTTTTGTTAGATCAATTTGATACCGCGTTGAAAATAAAAATGCGTAAGCGCAGCTATTTTAAGTCGATCGGAAAGAACAAAAGTGACGTGACGTTCGATTAATTTCTTATGAAAAAATAAAGCTCTGTGAAACGCATTTTCTCTTACAGAAATATGCCGATTCTATTGGCGTTTATCATACTCAAAAGTTGGCTTTGACCTGACCGTTATCTCACCATCAAAATAACCAATGCTTAAAACTGTCTTGTGTCAAATGAAAGTTATTATGGTCGGGTATACTAAAGCAAAATTGATCGGAGGCCAGTTTTACCAACATTAAAATAGCCGCCTGCCGGAATTTTTTGCCCAAAGACCGCTTCACATACGGAGCGTAAACGGCCACGTAAGCGGATTACACTCGGTATGTGAAGCGGTCTTTGACTCTTTAGGCAAACAATTCCGGCAGGGGCTATTTTTCTGTTGGTAAAACTGGCCTCAGAACCCCTGTTTCATTTAAATGCGTGTTTCTAATTGTTAAGCGTGTTTTAAAAGGACATTTTCGTGCCCTGTGTCACCTACCTGTGACATATCTAGCATGACTTATATGCAATGTCTGTAAACCGGTTTCCCATTTAAAACCGCCCTGGCAGGGCATTTTTCATAACACGGCCTGGCAGGGGGGGGGGGTCGATGCGACCCCCTGACCCCCCCCCCCCCTCGTGACTGGCTCCTATGGCACCTAGAAACACAAAATTTGGTGGGTAGGTGGCCCTCCCCCCCCCCCCCCCCAGGAGTTCTCTCCCCTGTGCAAATTTGGTTGCTCTAGGTCAATATTTAGGGGAGTTTTGGGGGTATAAATGTTAAAATTTCGCTAAAACAGGTTAACCCGCGCACCGACGGGGGGCGGATATCCGCCCCCCCCCCCCCCCCCTAAGGTTTTTCGCGAATAGCGGGAAAATTGCGGCGTGTAGCGGCGCGAAATTTGATACGACTATTTCTCATCAATTTTACACATGGTGTGCAAGTTAAACCTCCTAACTTTTAAGGTCAGGTCACCAGGTCACTTTGAATGACCCAACCTCAAGTCACTTTTTTGCAACTTTGTCACCGTGCCAGAGCTACAGTAGATGTCGGAGGCCTTTGAAAGTCACAGGATGTTATTAGGTCATTAGTAGCTACAATATGTATGTCTCGGAATTTTGATTTTGACCTAAGGTCAGGTCAATTTCTCGACCTCTCCATTATAAGTCAATGGGGGAAAATCAACTCCCTGTTTTTACCACTAAAACGGGTCGAAATGGCCCCAAATACCATACATGACTTCATATACGATCAACCTTCACTACCTTGAGGTCTGTTTTGCTGTTGGGCAGCTGTAAGGTCATGTGACGTCATCAAAGGTCACCAAAGGTTTTTGCCAATAACTCCGTACAGGAACAAGATACAGCCGCGCGGATGGTCTCATTGTGTTCAGCTCGTCAAGACGCATCGAATGATATGCATGATGACCTCGAGGTCACGTGACCTGAGGTCAACCTATGACCTTGACCTTTCGAAGTCGTTCCTATCTTGACTAATTCGAAAGTTATTCGAGAAAAACTCTCTCCATATCTAGCGTCGCCATTTTGATTTTTTGACCCCTGTGACGTCATCTTTGACCTGACCTGAAAATGACCTCAGTAAAAATTGTAGACCTTGTCCGTGCGTATCTGATGTCGTTAAGTTGGCGCAGACCCCCGTCGGTGCGCGGGTTAAAAGTTTTTCGCTTTTGATCCCATTAAAGGTAGTGTGCCACCTTTGAAAGATTTCCCATTTTATTTTTCCTAGGATAAGAAGCTTCTGTTTTTACCTAATATCGCAAAAAAAATCAAAAATGGGCCTGGAATAGTGCCTTTTTCGCCTAAAAGTTTATCGGTTTTTAGATATGTATAACAACTGTAGTGGGCTCACCTGCAAACAGGCGTCGGCAACAATCGCGAATGCGGCGCACATGTGACAATAAGCAAAGGTCATTATAGTGTTACGACCATACGACGTACGGGAATGAGTTATCAGCTGTCTAATCGTAGACAACACAATGTCGAGCCTTAAACTGTAAGCCTGTATTGGTATTGTTTCTTTTATTTGGCTGTCGAACATTATTTATGGTTTGAAATATGATTTTATGTAAAATAATTGATATGAAAAAGCCGTCTCATAAGTTATGACCCCATTTCACCACACGCAAGTGGCAGAAATGACAATGATCAGCTGACGCGTTTTTCTTGGCCGAAGTCAGAGCGCGCAGCCCGACGCACCACCACCGCACCACAAAGTATGAGCAGAAGCCGCGCCCAAAGCCAGGGCCCCGGTAACGTGAGGTAGCCGAGTCGGGGCAGCGTGCGCTGACCCAAGCCGGGGCCGCAGCTTTGGGCGCGGTCTACCGCATCCCCGCGGGCAGCCCCGGGCTATCACATGACACCGGGAGGACGCGCGGCTCCGGCTTGGGTCAGCGCACGCTGCCCTGACTCGGCTACCTCACGTTACCGGGGCCCTGGCTTTGGGCGCGGTCTACCGCACCACCTAACAGGCGTGTTCGAAACCGCAGGAGCTGATGATGAACGGGTTTATCGAAACTTGATTGGATGAGCATATCGGTAATAGCGATTTCAGTGTGTGCATTTATTGTTCATAGTGGTGTGAAATGTGGTTGGGGTACGACCGACAACCCGTCGGGGCGAATTTCGCACTGGGGTACTCAAAATTTGAAGAATTTAAGACGTTTCCATGAGTTTTGAAGGTATGGATAAGTTCTAAAAATCCGGTTCTCCTTATCTGGGCCATTAACTCCATACGGTCCAGGAAAGCTGGCACACTACCTTTAAGATAGAGCAAAAACAAAAGCACCAGTGAACTCAGCACGTCAAGGTGCGTCGATTGATAGGTACACTTTTTTTTTTGTTGAAGTGTACTCTAAAAGTTAGGCACAGCTTAAGTAAAACTTAAGTCTTAAGAATGTCCGGTACTTAAAGTTGTATATCATTCGACTCAGCTGTTCAAGAGGAACAAAATGATACCATTTTGAAAGCAGCTTTATCTTTATTATGTGACAAGTTATTGGCACAAAGACAGAGAATCCACACTACAATGTACAGACGAGCATCGGTTCGTAGTATATATTATATATTTGGCGCATTTGGATGGGCAAAGGCATATTTGTACTGTCAACTATCGTCTATCCAGCTTATTGTTGATCGGCCCAAGTCACGCCTGTGAGCGACAGATAACCGATGTTTTCTGAAGAACATTACAGGCGAAACCAAGAGCATGTCCGCCTTTTCAATAGTGTTTTTCGCGATCACAACACCCCTACTTTCCTCCCAGCTCCTTGAGGGCATTCTTGTACATGGCGCCCATCATCTGAGCTCCCTCGCCGTTGGCCTGCTCGTAGTAGGGCAGCTCGGCCTTCAGCTTGGCCAGCCAGGCTTGCACGTGCGGCCAGCGGGACATGTCGAGACCGCCGGTCTCCACGCTGGAGACGTTGGACAGCATGGCCAGGTCGGCGATGGTCAAGTGCTCGCCGGCCAGGTACGTGGAGCGCGTCAGGAACGTCTCCAGTAGCGCCATGTTCTCGTCCACCCGCGGCATGTTCGCTTGCGACTGCTTCAGGTCCTTCATGAACACCAGAGGAAACTGGAATAGGGGCGCAGTGACAGCGTCAGAACAGATGATGGCGATGGGTAGACACAGACAGTGAGCGATGTGAGCAATAACAACAATGATGGATTTGCAGCGCCGTTAGCCGAAGAAATTAATCAATCAGCGCTTCACCACAGCTCGTAAGGTGACAGTGTGTCAACCAACTAAATTCCTTGGCAGCAAAGTCAACATTTTGAGATGCATGTGTATTATATTATGTGTATTTAAACGTGACAAAAAGTTGTGATCCAAGCTACTGTCAAAGAGTGGTTGTCCAAAAATGGTGTTGTTTAAACGGTCCAAACGGTACAGCACGCCTTTCGATCAAGTTCGTGTTCCGCTTTCCGCATAGGGCAGTGTCTATTTACTTTGCATTACCCTGTTAGCATTTTGCTTGGGGATCGGTTGGAGAACATCAGGGCATAATTGGGATTTTCGGCACATTCTCCTACCTGGCTGGGGAGTGCTTAGAAAATCCCGTTGCTTTTTCAAATAGCTTTGTTGGATCCGTGGTGGCTGGGATACTCGAGTTCGACAGGTTCCCCAGTTTGAGGTAAGTCAGAACGTTTAGAGCTTTCCTCAGGCTTGGGGACGATTAGGGATATTCCGACTCCAAGCGACCGATTGGCTAAAACCTGGAATATTTTTGTTGGGATCGTGCTTATTTACCGTGTTGTGGTGTCATTGGAAGCTCGGGGATAGCGCTGGACATCCCTGGCAATTGGTTGGGGAACGCCTGATAATCGGTCTAGAAACGATTGGGATAGATATATCAGACAATAGGTCTCGATTCCCCAGATAAAGACGGGGATTTTTGGGCAGCCACATGGTGAAACCCTGAGGTATCCCTCTGGGGATCGGTGCGAAATGACTGGCAAGGCAATAGCATGAAGCGTTAATTCTCTCCACAAACTGGACTTATTAAACTCACCACGATGCCGCGAAGGCTGGCAAACAGCTGGGAGTCGAAGTAAAGTCTCTGGTCCACCAGAGCCCTGGCGGCCGGGTCGCGGGGGTACAGGCTCTGCAAGTTGGCAGGCGCGTACTGGTTCATCATGTAGGTGATGATCGCCTTGCTGCCGGAACAAATAGAGGTGGCTGAGTGTCTTGGACAATAAGAATGTTAAACTAAATTTGTGGAGCCTTTTACGGCATTTTCTGCTTAAAGCAACGGAACGTAACAACTGCATGCATAAAAATTCCTTAGCAGGGGTATGCAGGTACGATTATATTGTGAACTGGTCATATCGATTTAGGCACCAACTACGCATTACTTTTACTTTTTATAAGTCTTTTTTCCTCCAGACATACCGATCCCACCGGCCACCAACTACTCGGAATTTGTTAAAATGGCCCAGCCTTTCGCGAATGGGATTGCAGATTGATTTGGTCTGAAGCTTGTATAGGCACCTCGCTCAGCCTAAAAGTCTCCCAGATATCGTAACATGCGCTGCACGGCCCGCGCAGGACCCCGGAGGCCGGAGGGTTCCGAATGGGTCCCAATTGCACCCAGAGCGTCCTGTGACCTTCTACTTTTTAAGTTGGGAGTTGTGCGGAGATTCCCAGTCAGCGGTAAAGAATGGTGAGCCGAAATATCACGTCTCCCTAACTGCAGGTCCGTAATAGGTTGGGATATTTCTAATGTAATCTTCCCCGCTATGGAAAGCTGGGATTTCCGGAGCTTATCCCGACCTCCCCTGGCCGTATTACGGGCAAAGTGCCGGCTGGCTTTATGCCTAGCCTGTCACTCATTTCATTTCTATATGTCTAATTATTGTGTTATATACTTCCATCCTTGTCACCTACCTGTCACCTATTGACAGCTCGCCGTCTGTCATGACAGGCACGGTGTGTGCCGGGTTCATCTTCAGGAACTCGGGCGTCCGGTTCTCCCCCTTCTCCATGTCTACGATCTTGAGGTTATAGTCCAGGCCGATGGCTTTAGCCACCAGAAAGACGGCCCGGCATGGCGGGCTCGGCTTGATGGCGTAAATGTCAATGCCCATCTTGGAAACTGCGGCAAAACGGGAAGTGAAGATTCAATAGCCGTTTCACGACAGACTATCTGGCGAATGCACCTAATTTGACAAAGTCTGCACCAAATCTCTGTAACAATAGATATCTTCATAATATGGATTTATTTCAGTGTATTAATCGAAAATAATGTCTAATAATAAAAAACGATTCATATGTGCATCTGTGCAAACCAAACTGATAACTTTTCAGTAACACAAACCATTTTCACGACGGAGTATTTTGCGAATGCAGCGAATTTAACCAAATATGCAGCTATAATCTCTTTAGAACAAATATTTAATATCTATATTAATATATTTTATATAATGTAATTATAATCTTTCTAATATAATCTCTGATTGTAATCTCTTTTAATAACAAATATCTTGTTTTCATGAATGTATTTCATTGTTTTAAATCAAAAATAATGTCTGATTATTTGAAGAATAAAGTATATAAGCCTCTGTGCAACCCAAACGGACAACTTTTAAGAAACACAATGAACCTAAATCCTAATTTGACCAAATGTGCACCAAACCTGCACCAAACGTGTACCAGATTGCCGTCGTGAAAACTGCTATACCTACTGAACTTAATTTGACCAAATCTGCACCAAAACTGCACCTGATCTGCACCAACTGTGTACCAGATGGCTGTCATGAAACGGCAAAACGTCGGAGGTAGCCCGTTTAACGGTGTAAGTAGGAATGTCGCACTGCGTTGGGCGCCTACACGTCAACACTCACAGTGGTTGCAGTAAGGTAACGCTGCCGACGGACTCACGTCTGCTGCGAACGTGAACTGTCCGGTGCGCCTGGCCCACCTCTGCAGACTGCTGGCGAGACGGGCGCACCGCCTCGTCCCGATCTCACCCCAGGCCGGCCTTGAGCGGCCAAGTAGTCAGAATCTGCCCTCTCAGCGTGACTATGGGAAACGCGAGTCGAGGATGAAGATGACATTCGGATGCATACTGTATGGTATGCATGCCATTACGAGACAAACGTGGATTTATGTTTGAAGTGTTTCAGCTAATGTTTTTTCATATTGCTGAGTTAATTAACCCATTGTAGGTATTTCATAATGCTCTGAACTTGGCAATAGGACTGCTTACTAAACACCAGGTTTGTTATCTGCCTTGTTCAAGGCCCATTGCTGGTACAGGGTATTCGTGAAAATATGTCATGAATTTTTGCTATGTAGGAAAATTGTTTCAACTGAAATCTGCTGAGTGGGAGTGCTTTAGAAGTTTTGGCGAGAAAAGTATGGTGACTTGGGCAGGACAAGGACAACCAAGGCCCTATACTAGGACAACTGCCGAAACGCTGCAGACATACCTATGTAGGTACAGTGTCATGGTATCAGATCCACACCTCGAATATTGTTGTCCGGTGCCTAAACGAGATGCTAAGGCCCGTTTCTTGATGAGGACCCCTACCCCTTGGCTGACCCGCCCACCCTTGGTTGCGCTCATCGGCCGTTACCTACCCATGTGGGATACCTGAAGACCGACGCTTACTGGAAGACAGCCAATAATCTGTCTCAGCTAATGAGTGTGATAGCAAAGGCCCTCCGTGAATTCACTTCTAACACATGCGTCCGAATGGACCGCTATGTCAAATTATCTCAAATTATTAGACTAATCGATTAGCCCGGCAGGCGGTGGGCCTACCAGCCACCTTCCACGCGGTGTGGGGGGGGGGCACTTTTTTGCCCCCCCCCCGTATCTCCGAAACTACTGGACGGATCCGGAAAATTCAAACGGCGTTCGATAGCCCTGTCAAATTTGTTGAGGGAAACCAAATTTCATTGACCTCGGGGTCACCGATGACGTCACAGGTCAGGTCAAAGATAAAATGTTTCACCGTTCACAGGGCTTCTAGGGAAAGCGCTATAACACCGAGTAAAACGCATTTTGTCGAAAATCAGCGATAAGACGTCAGTTGTCTAGTACATATGTTGCTATTAGAGGTCACTGGTCATACCAGGTCAGGTCACAGGTCAGGTCACCAAAGGTCACCAAGGGTCACCACATGAGCCCAACTTTACTAAGGTTATGTGATGCATGTTTTATGGCCAGTTTTTCATTTCCAACTCAATGGTGTTGGTTATAAGACCATCAGGTACGGTTTAGGTCACTTTCTGGTGGAGCTAAGGTCAAGGTCAGGTCAAAAAAGGTCAAATTTCAAAGTTGATATTTTTGCATAAAATGGGTATCGATTCGATGCAGCTCGTCACGGGGAGTCTAATGGTGGTCTTTGTTTTGCGCTACGAGGTCTAGAATCGCTAAAAATTGAGTTTGAAAATTTGACTTCATCAATTTTGAACAGTTTTTTTCGCTATAACTTGGCCAAAAAACGAGGTATCGATCTCAAATTTGGTATGTAGATAGAAGGCGGTAGGGACTATCACATATATTCCGGTTTTTTTTCGAAATTCAAAAAACTTTTTGGATTTTTTTGGCTATTATATTCAAAAAATCTATTTTTTTGATTTTTGGGGGTCAAAATAAAAAAAAATCGAAAAACCGAAATAGCAGTTTTGTAGCCCTTTTGATTCCACACCTTTTATGTCAAAAACATTTTTCTGTATCTCTAAAGCTGTAGGCCTGACAGCTCTTCCCGCGAAACCTTTTTTTGGGTCGAAAATGGCAAAAATGACGTCACTCTTACGTCATTAGCGGCCAACCTATCATAGCCTTTGGAAAAAATTTTGGTCATCATGTGCGCTAGCTGCTCCCGGGAGGGTACTGAAAGTTTGGTGACGATCGGCGCAGCGGTTCTCGAGATATATCGAAAAAAGTAAAGGGGGGCAAAAAAATGCCCCCCCCCCACCGCCTGGAAGGTTAGTGATGTCAATTACGGAAAATCGTGATACCGATACCAAACCAAAAACCAACAATACCTACCTGACCATGGAAAAATATCGAAACCGAACCAACTTGGGAAACTGAGGGAAATACCAACTTTTACCGAATTCACAGCCTCTTTTACATTAGGTAGGTACGATTCACAGTACCAACAAAATACCAAATGCATTTGCCTTCAAATACCAAATACCAAGTTGGTATCGGTTTGGTATCGGTAAACCAAAAAGTTGGTACCTATATTCCGATTAGCATCTCTATTTTCGATTAAAAAACGCTGAAATAAATTCACGATATGAAGACATTCATTGTAACTGAGCTTTGGTGTAAATTTGGTCAACTTTGGTGCATTCGCCAGGTAACCCGTTGTGGAAACGGCTGTTATGAACTGCATGCAAGCCAGTTTCCCATTCAGTTCGTGCTGCATAGACATAAACTGATTTCACCTATGCTCTCTTCTTGGAGCAGAGCTGCGATTCTTGTATGCCTCCGGGCTCCGTGAGTTCCGACCCTTTACCCTTTACGGGGAAATGATTGATACAGCGTGAAGATACCAGTGTCCATTTATTTGGCGATGAAAGTAATTCACACTTCCATGTACAAATGATCGTCAGTTATCGGTAGGTATATATTGCCTTATTGGCGCACTTTAAGTGGCAAGGATATATTTGTACTGTCAACTACCCAGCTTTTTGTTGAACGGCCTAAGCCATGCCTGTTGACGGACAATTGCTGATTATTTTATCGAGACTATTAGAGGCAAACACAAGAGCATGCCTGCCCTTTCGATAGTCCTTTCAGCGATCACACCACATCTACTTTCCTCCCAGATCCTTCAGTATCCTTTGGTAAATGGCACCGAGCATCTGAGCTCCCTCGCCGTTGGCCTGCTCGTAGTAGGGCAGCTCGGCCTTCAGCTTGGCCAGCCATGCCTGCACGTGCGGCCAGCGGGACATGTCAATTCCGCAGGCCTCCATGCTAGAGACGTTGGCCAGCGTGGCCAGGTCGGCAATGGTCAAGTGCTCGCCGGCCAGGTACGTGGAGCGCGTCAGGAACGTCTCCAGCAGCGCCATGTTCTCCTCTAGCCGCGGCATGTTCGCCTGTGACTGCTTCAGGTCCTTCAGGTACAGCAGAGGAAACTGAAATAGGGGCGCAGCAGGGGCGTCAGAGAGGGTCATGGTGAAGCGCCGGGCTGCTCGTGAAATAAATGGCTGCGCCTTATCGCAACTTGCAAGTCGAAGCAGTTGTTAACTCAAATGAAGCGAAACCCTTACATACGGGAGTTATGCATGTGTGTAAATTAAGCGTTGTAAAAGGTTGTAGGTATTGTCCGAACAGCACATCAAGCTCTCTTTAACCCTCGCCCATGTAGGGGGGGTTGGTGCAACCCCCCCCCCTGAGGCTTTTCGGAAATAAGGCAAAAACGGCGGCGCGCAGCGCCGCCAAATTTTGGGTACCTCATGGGGCAAACCTTGCGCATCTTTTGATAAAAAAAATTTGACCGGGTCATGTCAGGTCACGGAGTTATGACGTCACAAAGGGAACAGCCTCCGGCCGGATTTTCACAAACTGAGTGCCAACGCCCGAGGTTTCCTGCCGATGGTACGGACATCGGTTGATGGATCGTGATGAAACTTCCCATGCATGTTGGGGCAAGTATTGGCTATCATATGGTATAAGAAACTTGACCGGGTCAGGTCAGGTCACGGATCTATGACGTCACAAGAGGAACAGCGTCCGGTACTATTTTTGAAAAGCGCCCGAACCACTATTTTGCTAATTCTTGTCACCTCAATGGGAATATGCAGCAATATTAGCTTATATAGGGAGCAAATGGACCTCCCAAATCCAAAAATACAATCAGATTTCAAAAATTTAAATTTTGATTTTTCGAATTTCTGCCGCCGACTGTGACCTTGCCGACTTCCGGCGCTCCCAACGCGCCATTTTTAGAGCTAGGGAAATGAAATACATACCAAATGATAGAGAATTGATCAAGGAACACGATAGTGAAGGTTTCAAGTCGATATCTCCCACCGTTTTGCCGCAATCGCCGCCGAAAGTTGAAAAAAGTCTATTTTTCCGAAAATTTGACCTTTGACCGGTCAAAAGTAGGTCAAATGTTGACCTAGGACCAAAAAATATACCACCAATCGCGAGATCTCGGCGAGAGCAATCCGTTGGTCTTTTCCGCTAAGCTCTACGACGCTCCGTTTTCAAACGCCAAGGGGGGGGTCGCACCAAACCCCCCCTGCATGGGCGAAGGTGGCAGATCGCCGTTTACGGGCGAGGGTTAACCCGCGCACCGACGGGGGGGGGGGCGGATATCCGCCCCCCCCCCCTGAGGTTTTTCGCGGATAGCGGGAAAACCGCGGCGCTACAATTTGGTACGACTATTCTCTCATCAATTTTACACATGGTGTGCAAGTTTGAACCTCCTAACTTTTAAGGTCAGGTCACCAGGTCACTTTGAATGACCCAACCTCAAGTCACTTTTTTGCAACTTTGTCACCGTGCCAGAGCTACAATAGATGTCGGAGGCCTTTGAAAGTCGCAGGATGTTATTAGGTCATTAGTAGCTACAATTTTTATATCTCGGAATTTGGATATCGGTGACCTAAGGTCAGGTCAATTTCGCGACCTCCCTATTATAAGTCAATGGGGGAAAAATCAACTCCCTGTTTTTACCACTAAAACGGGTCGGAATGGCCCCATATACCATACATGACTTCATATATGATCAACCTTCACTACCTTGAGGTCTGTTTTGCTGTTGGGCAGCTGTAAGGTCATGTGACGTCATCAAAGGTCACCAAAGGTTTTTTGCCAATAACTCCGTACAGGAACAAGATACAGTCGCGCGGATGGTCTCATTGTGTTCAGCTCGTCAAGACGCATCGATTGATATACATGATGACCTCGAGGTCACGTGACCTGAGGTCAACCTTTGACCTTGACCTTTTGAGGTCAACATATATATCATTCGATGCGGATTGACGAGAGGATCACGATGGTGCCCTTAAGTTGTTCCTATCTTGACTAATTCGAAAGTTATTTGAGAAAAAACTCTCTATATCTAGCGCCGCCATTTTGACTTTTTCGATCCCTGTGACGTCATTTTTGACCTGACCTGAAAATGACCTTTGTAAAAATTGTAGACCTTGTCCGTGCGTATCCGATGCCGTCTACCGCTTGTCGTTATCTTGCTTCGTTCTCGAGATCTCAGGGGGGGGGGCGGTCATCCGACCCCCCCCCCCGTCGGTGCGAAGTTGGCGCAAACCCCCGTCGGTGCGCGGGTTAAATCAAAATCGTTTTCCGCTTCCTGCATGCTTGCATGCATGTTGAAGTATTTACTTTGTATTACCCAGTCAGCATTTCTCTTGGGGATCAGTAGGGAAATATTGAGCAGGGATTGCTATTTTTAGGCATTTCCCGTCAGTAGCGGCGGAACACCTTCAATTAAGGGGGGCATTCTTTCCATGCAACGCCCATAGGGCTAATGATAAAATGTCAAAATCAAAGGGGGGCACGGTGCCCCGGTGCCCTCCCCGTTCCGCCGCCTATGATTCCCGTACCTGGATAGGGGAATGCTAAAACATCCGATGCTCCCCTTCCCGATGTTCTGATGCAAGCACCTCCTATTGCTTCGTTGCTTTTATTGATGACCGAGATACTCTGGTTTTCCCAGGCTCCCCCCGTTTGGGGAAAGTTGAGAGGCTCAGAGGTTTCTCAGTTATTAGATCGTGCTACTCATTTTGCTCTGACACCTTGTAGAGCCTAAGGGGTGCGCGGGATATTCCAATACCACTTGGGGAAATCATAGGATATCTTGTTTGGGATTGTTTTTTTTTTTACTATGCCGTAGTATTCATTGGAGGCTTCAGAAACGCACGGGAAGTCACTACTTAAAGGTAGTGTGCCAGCTTTCCTGGACCGTATGGAGTTAATGGTCCAGATAAAGAGAACCGGATTTTTAGAACTTATCCATACCTTCAAAACTCATGGAAACGTCTTAAATTCTTCAAATTTTGAGTACCCCAGTGCGAAATTCGCCCCGACGGGTTGTCGGTCGTACCCCAACCACATTTCACACCGCTATGAACAATAAATGCACACACTGAAATCGCTATTACCGATAGGCTCATCCAATCAAGTTTCGATAAACCCGTTCATCAGCATCTCCTGCGGTTTCGAACACGCCTGTTAGGTGGTGCGGTAGACCGCGCCCAAAGCCAGGGCCCCGGTAACGTGAGGTAGCCGAGTCGGGGCAGCGTGCGCTGACCCAAGCCGGGGCCGCGCGTCCTCCCGGTGTCATGTGATAGCCCGGGGCTGCCCGGGGATGCGGTAGACCGCGCCCAAAGCCGCGGCCCCGGCTTGGGTCAGCGCACGCTGCCCCGACTCGGCTACCTCACGTTACCGGGGCCCCGGCTTTGGGCGCGGTCTACCGCAGGTGGCTTCTGCTCATACTTTGTGGTGCGGTGGTGGTGCGTCGGGCCGCGCGCTCTGACTTCGGCCAAGAAAAATGCGTCAGCTGATCATTGTCATTTCTGCCACTTTCATGTGGTGAGATGGGGTCATAACTTTAGAGACGGCTGTTTCATATCAATTATTTTACATAAAATCATATTTCAAACCATAAATTAATGTTCGACAGCCAAATTAAAGAAACAATACCAATACAGGCTTACAGTTGAAATTAGACATTGTGTTGTCTACGATTAGACAGCTGATAACTCATTCCCGTACGTCGTAAATCTATAATGACCTTTGCTTATTGTCACGTGTGCGCCGCATTCGCGATTGTTGCCGACGCCTGTTTGCAGGTCAGCCCACTACAGTTGTTATACGTATCGAAAAACCGATAAACTTTTAGGCGAAAAAAGCACTATTTCTGGCCCATTTTTGATTTTTTTGCGATATTAGGTAAAAACAGAAGCTTCTTATCCTAGGAAAAATAAAATGGGAAATCATTGGAAGGTGGCACACTACCTTTAACAGTTGGGAAGAGCCAACTAGGTAATAGTTTTAGGAACGATTGGGAGAGATCAGCCAAATTGTTTGAATTCCCAAGCCAAGGGCAGGGATTTCTCGGGCAGTCACAATGGGAAACCCAGGGATATTCCACTGGGGATCGCTGCGAAATTGCTGACAATGCAATTTCGCAGCGATTCCTGGTGGGACATCCAAGGGTTTCCCAATGTGGCTGCCCGGGAAATCTCTGACAATACAATAGCATAAATCGACTTTTTTCCCATAAACTGGAATTAGGAGACTTACCACGATACCGCGAAGGGTGGAGAACAGTTGGGAGTCAAAGTAGAGTCTCTGATCCACCAAAGCCCTGGCGGCCGGGTCGCGGGGGTACAGGCTCTGCAAGTTGGCAGGCGCGTACTGGTTCATCATGTAGGTGATGATCGCCTTGCTGCCGGAACAAATAGAGGCGGTGGAGTGTCTTTGCAATAAAATATATATATATATAAATATATCTATATATATAAGTATATATATATATAGATATGTATATATATATATATATATATATATATATATATATATATATAATTATATGCCGAAAGTGGAGCCTTCTTTCGGCAGTTGCTGTTCAAAGCGAGATCTGAAGTGCAACAACTAACAACTCTTAAGTAACTAGGTACCTAATTACGGATATACAGGCACATTTATATTATATTTGCCCTAGACATAACAATGTATGTACAATTTGAAGCCAACTACGCATTATAAAGTTAATTCCTCAGTTATATTTATGTATTGACAGACCAAAACGCGTTTCGAATAAATCGTCTTCAGTTGGTCTGTATATATAGACCAACTGAAGACGATTTATTCGAAACGCGTTTTGATCTGTCAATACATAAATATAACTGAGGAATTAAATTTATACTACTACTTGTCAGTATTAATCCAAACAACTACGCATTGCTTTTACTTTTGCTAGGTATTTCACGAAATTTTCATCTCCAGCCATTCCGGTCCGATCCTCCTCAGGATTTGTCAACCTAGCCTAACCTTTACCGAATCGGAATGGGACTTGCATCAGGATGTTTTTTTTCTGGAACTTAGGATGGCACCCTGCAAACGATGGAAGCTTCCCATATGGTATCGTAGCCTGCCCTGGGCGGCCGGTCGATAAATTCTTGACAAATCCGGACATCCTTTGAACATTCCCTTTTTAGGGTGGCGTTGTACGGAAATTTCCCATAGCTTTTAATAACTGAGCTGGGGAGGAATCCCCACGTCTAGGCAGGTTCGAAATCGATTGGGGAATTCTGAACGTAATCGACGTGGGAAAAGTTGGGATATGCAAGGCTTATCCCAAATTTCCCCAACCAAACCGTATTGCATCCAAACCGTAAGCTAGATTTATTCATATTCACGCCTCTCATTTCCGTTTCAATTACATCTAATCGTTACATCTGTCCTGTCACTGTCAGGTACCTACCTGTCACCTATTGACAGCTCGCCGTCCGTCATGACAGGCACGGTGTGTGCCGGGTTCATCTTCAGGAACTCAGGAGTCCGGTTCTCCCCCTTCTCCAAGCTCACAATCTTGAGGTTATAATCCAGGCCGATGGCCTTGGCCACCAGAAACGCGGCCCGGCATGGCGGGCTCGGCTTGATGGCGTAAATGTCAATGCCCATCTCGGAGACTGCAAAAAAAAAAAAAAAACGAGGATGCCGGATGTAGGTACTTACATACGTACGAATAGCTCTTAGTGAATATGCTGGAAAGCAGCTAACGTGGCACAGTTTACAAAACATTTTGGCTAAAAAAAAACGTACCGTGAGTTTTACGAAGCTAAAAAAACGGCCAATGAAGCTTGTATACTCTTTGACTTTGTTCAGATAGGTACTGTTACTTTGTCTGAAGGTATTGGCCCTGCCAGTGATCTCGGCACTTGGTCGTGTTCGTACAGCTTCCAACACACAAGCACTGTAGCCTGTTCAGTGCTCACCTCTGGTGCACTGGTAGGTATCCCGTCCGGTGCGTGCGTCTGGTCCACTTCTACAGCCTGCAGACGGAGACTAAAGCGCCACTAGGTCCCGATCTCACCCCAGGCCGGCCTTGAGCGGGCAGGTAATCTGCCGTATCGCGCGGGGGCTAGGGAGTCGCGAACATGCAAGTCACGGTCGCCGCCGGCCAGAGACCGCCCTGCCGACCACGCAGTCGCCTCTGCACCGCCGTCTTCCGACACGGCTAATCTGTCAGACGGTACAACGACGGTCCACTCGAGCTCAGAGGTAGACACCGCCGCACGGGCCCGACCGGCAGGTGACTGATTGCGTAATGTGACTATCAAGTGCTTTGCTGCATGTATGCGGAGATGAAGTGCAGATAAGCTTTCGTAACTTGGCGGGGTTAGTGTTTGCACGTGACTGAGCTGAACTAATGCGTGATGTAGGTTAGGTACACAGAAATAGTTAGACGGCCGTATTTATGCTGATAATTAGCTATCACCGTTTACATAGTGCGTACCAGAATAATATACTATTACTATGCATTTCAGACCCTGTGAGACCCTGTTTTTTGGCGATAATTTCTTTAATATTTATCCAATCGGCTTCAAATTTTCGCAAAGCACATTTCAGCTCAAGCGCCAATTTTTGTCAATATGGTCGTTTAACAAAATATCAAAATTTAGGGTACTTGTCGTTGCCTCGTAATGTTAAAATCAGCTCCGTAAATCGGTCAGTGGAGTAGAGGCTATCCGTGCGTAGGTGTGACGTCACAAACACGTGACCATTAAGCTCCGCCCTCCCGGCGGACGGGGCGGTGACCTTGGCCGGTCAGTCGGCTGCGTAGAGCGGGCGAGGCAGTAGCTGCCGCACCGGGGCGGATCGCATGGAACGTAGCTGCCGTGCAGTTTTCGTTGCATCCGTAACCTAACCGAATGAGCAAAAATAGCACTCATAAGTAACGCACTAGCTGAAGCCCTCGCCTTTGCATTTATATTTGCAAAGGCGTACCTACATCCTGTTCAGTTACAATCACCTTCTGTCCCGCCCGGCGCCCCGCGGCCCGCACCGCTTCAATCACGAATACAGTCGTCTCGCTGGAGCAATGCGCCAGGCAATCGGCCGTGCCCGCGACTCGTCATCTCACTTTGTTGCTTTCTGCGCCTTTCTCAGAAACATTTATTGACGGTGCAAAGTATATAAATATTTTGGGATAATGCAGAGGCTTACGCATGATCTTATAGGTGATAGGGTGTGACCTGACCCAACCTGACGATGAAATAGGTGCAACTCTGGCTTAAATAAATGCTCGGAGCCCAAGAGTTCGTCTATCTTTCCTTTTACGGCCGGTTCTGGGAAGGCTAATAATTCATCCTACCCTGATTCTGATCATTCTGAATATCCTGAGCTGGTTCGACGTTTAGATACCAAAATAAGGAGAAGAGGACACCAATGCCCTCGAACGGAGATTTTTTGCTTTACAACTTTGCCAACTCCATTCGTCTCAAGCATGCGGTCCCGCTGCGAACCCTCCGTGGTGCTGACCAAGCGCCATAGACCCAGCGCGGTCACGGCCAGTGGGCGGAGTCAAGTTGAGCACGACGTAACGTGATTGGCCAGCGCTCCTATTCAATCCGGTGCGGCAGCGGGCGAGCCTCTATCCGGGTGAAAAATATGATTAACATTACGAGCCAACGACAAGTGCTCTAAATATTGATATTTTGTTAAGAGACCATATTGACAAAAACTGGCGCTTGAACTGAAATATGTTATGTCGAAATTTCAAGCTAATTGGACAAAAAATGAAGAAATTATCGCCGAAAGACAGGGTCTCATGGGGTCTGAAATACATAGTAGGTACCTAAAAACTTAACATTTCCTTAGTTCAATATTTTGGTTGTTTTTCCTATCTAAAGTAAAATTACAGCAGCTGCTATAACCTTAGCTCCTCACGCCTTTCATATCTCCATTTCCATAACACCGATCCAATCAAAAGTAAGGAAGACACAACAAAATATATTATTACATAGTTTCTCAGCAAAGATGGTTGAGTTGAGGCGCAATCACTCACGGTTATCGATAGCAGCGAGCTTATGTTTCTGTAAATTTAAGTTAACTGAGCAAATTTGTCTTGTATGCGTGTGAAATAAGATGTCAGTGCCATTCCTTTTCTCCGATGTTATGATTTGACCGTCGAAAAGAATTAACATCATAGTACGTAAATCTCGCTATAAACACTTATTGTTATGCTGCTTGTCCGTTTAATATTTCACTGCACTAAGCGTAATACATCGCAGTTACCAAAACGGAACATAGTGGACAGTGCACAGGGCGACACTGCCTTTTAGCTCCTTTGGTGCCAAATAAATGGGAAAATCATAAATATTTACGACTCAGAGTGTAACTAGTTATATCGTAGATCAATAAATATATCGCACCGTCGAAAGCCCAGAAAGTTTCCTCAATCCTCACAAACTCAAGTGTTTCACCATCACGTATCGAGTACAATATTATAATTAAAATGGAATGTTTTATGACATTGCGCTGCAGCGCACCATGGTGGTCAGTGCTGGCCGGCCAGCAGCAGCAGCTTCTGCAGCAGGAGGGTCACCCTCTGAGACCCGGCGGAGGGTCGGCGCCGGTACACACACCGCCAGTACACCAGTACGCCAGTCACCAGGAAGGCCAGCACGGCCAGGTGGTCCAGGCGCGGCCCGTTCACCAGCGGCACGGCCATCAGCAGCACGGCCATCACCAGCACCAGCCACGGCACGGCCGTGGGCGCGCGGAACGGGCGCGGCGCGTCCGGCCGCGTGCGCCGCATCACCAGTAGTGCCACCATCGCCAGGCCGTAGAAAATCCACACCGTGAGGCTGGCGAACGTGATCAGCTTCTCGAAGTCGCCGTAAGCCAGCATGGCTGATGAGACGAGCGTGTTGAAGATGATGGCTGGAGCCGGCGTACGACTGGTGGTCTGAAGGAGCGCTAGTGGTCGAGCGAGGTGACCGGCGCGAGCGGCCGTGAACGACAGACGACTGGAGGCCATGATGGTGCCGTTCAGGGTGCCGTACACGGAGAGCGCCACGCAGAGCGGGATCAGCAGGCCAGCTGCGCTGCCCAGCGCGTGCTCGGCGAATGCCACGGCCGCCGCCGGAGTGGCGATTACCTCATCCGGCGAGAGCACGGTCAAGTAGGCTGTATTCACCAGCAGGTAACTGAAGGTCACCAGCGGCACGCCGATGAACAGCGCTCGCGGCATGTCGCGCACCGGATCCGACATCTCCTCTGTGAGGAAGTTGAGGTTGTTCCAGCCCTCGTACGCCCACAGGCAGGTGTAGAAAGCGGCAGTCAGGTCTACCATGGACACTCTCTCGCTGGGCATGCCGGCGGTCAGATGTCTCGTGCCGCCCCGGACAATGAAGTACACCCCGCCCGCCACGATACCGATCATCACCAGCAGCTTGGCGGCGGCGAACAGGTTGTTGATGGTCGCCGTCAGCCGGACGCTGTAGCTGTTGATGAAGGCGGACAGGGTATTGGCACAGAGCGCCACCAGCGCGATGGCCAGCACGGGCGGGCGGCACTCGGCGCCGAACCAGGGCTGCACGCAGTATTCGGCCACCGCCAGACTCTGGATGGCCGTGTTGGCCGGCCGTGACACCAGGCACGTCATCCACGCGTACAGGAAGGCCGGCAGAGGCCCGAGGAACTCGTGCAGCGGCCCGAAGGCGTGCAGCATGGCGGCGAACTCTCCACCGGCGCTGGGTACCACGCAGCTGAGCTCCACGTAGGCGACTCCGGCGAGCAGACAGAGCAGACCACAGCTGGCCCAGATCAGCAGGGCCGGGAGCAGCGCGCCGCCAGACAGTGCCAGCACCGTGCCCGCCGACATGAAGATGCCCGAGCCGATCATGGTGCTGGTCATGATGGCTGCCGCGGAGACGAGTCCGAGGGTGCGTCGCAGACAGACCGGCCCCGACAGCTCGTCAGCGGTGGTTGTTGAGCCATTGGCGGTGGCGGAGCCGCTGGTGCACAGCGGAGTCGAGCTCTCAGTCCGTGACGGGATGCTATGACCGTTACAGTTTTCATTGGTCAAGCTGGTCATCTTCGCAGGGCTGAAGAGCGGAGCACCGTTTGGTGTTTCACTGTCGACGAACGCTGGGTTGTCCATTGTTGGAGTCTATTATCTTAACGGAAGATAGCTTATCTACAAAGTTTCTTCTTTAGGTTGCAGAATTCCTAGAATGGACGTACAACTCGCTGCCCTTCGCAGAAGAATCACTGTCGCAGCCTCACCTAGGCTCTCTGGCCCTCTCACCATCAGACACAAACCTCTCCGTGCCTGCACGGAGCGCTTTTACCCCTCGCCAGCCCGGAACCACATGGTCAACTGGTGCAAACTAGACTGGCGGCGTCACCAGAGCCTTCTGGGTGCCGCTGATACCGGAGCCTCTCCTGGTTCGCCGGCTCACCTGGGTGTGCGGACCCTCGGCCTGCGATCGTTCCCACCCGGACGTCCTGATCACGAACGACTTGTGCCCTGTAACCCACCCGAAACCGCTCTCACGTGCCTTCTGCAACGCCCGAGGGACTGAAATGCGAGCCTCAAACTTGCTGCGGTTCATGAAGTCGGTCGGGACATGATGCTACTGTTAGAGCTGGTCGCAAGCCGGCGAATACCAGAAACGGAGAATGCGATAAGGAATTCGCGGCACTTAACATTTGATAGCAAAAAGAAGAAAATGCAATAGAATGAAGTCGGTGCGCAGCGCCATAAGCTTGAGGACACGACTACCAACTACCAAGCTATGATTTAACATGCTACTACATATTTACAATGCATATTATTCGGCAAGAGCAACGATAAGCAACATGACTTTTCGATGGCTTAGAAGATAAACGCTGGCTGTTTACAGGGCTCTATCTTCGGACCACTACTCCCATAAGTTATGCAATGTGAGGTATCCAAACTAAGAAGTCCATAAGTTGTCTTTTCTTCCAAGCTCAGTCTCGTTTCATACATCTAAAAGTATTTATCCGTTTAATTAGACGATCCCACGGCTTATGACGTAAATTACCATTAAGCAGCTGTTTGAACTAAATTTATATGTACCATGACGATATATGACATGAATCATGTTATCTATGTCTGTACTAATATGTTCGATAAGCAAAACATGCAATTAAGCTTAAGTGCGAACCTGAAAGGATGCATAGTAGTTACTTTAAAAGTATACTCGCACAGAAACTGTACTGGATGGAACGGTATGTTATTAAACGGATGGAACGGTATGTTATTAAACTCCCAAACCTTTCCGTCAT